TTGGATTTTGATGGGGCGACTATCCAACTTTTCCCGGACCTCTCCAGACGTACCCTTCTCATGCGGCGTCTGCTGAAGCCGCTACTAGACGTGGTGAGACGCTCAGGAGCCACCTATAGGTGGGGCTTCCCGTTTCACCTGCTGGTTAAGAAACAGGATCTGACGTTCACACTAAAGACCCCTGCGGATCTACCTGCCATGTTTGCCTTTCTGGACACTGAGCGGATCGCAATACCGGACTGGCTTAACCCATCTTTGGAGCCGACGGGCCCCCGGTCACGTAACAGAGATGGTCCCTCCCGGATTGCTGCCCCTAACCGTCCTCACCTCTCTCGTGGAACACCTGACGGTCCTCGGAACGTGACTCGCAGACCTGGACCCCCCACGGGACCCCAGACTGTGCGTGAGGACCGACCCTTCCTGCCACAGTAACGTTCCTGTACCGGATAACTACTTAGGCATCTACCCCCTGCGGACGAACTATACCCTGTTGCACCTCATCTACGTTCTTCTGCTTTGCTCTGTTTAGGGTTTGCAGGATGCAGCCGTTGAACTGAACGCAGTGGACTACCCCAAGATCCCACACCACCGAAGAGTCCTCCGGATGATGCCCGGCCTGGTCCCTCCGGTAACGGGGCCCCCCCATCCCTCCCCCCCGCTTAGTGGGGGGGGGCGGAATGGGAGGATACCCACCTCACGAATCCTTTACATTAATGTGTTGATGTGTGCTTCCTGTCCGCAGGAGTCCACTACATTGTCTCTTTGACCCCCCCATTTTTGGGCCCCCTACCGTTAGAATCTAGAGGGGGTTTCCAGAGAAGATCTCCCCCCCTGTACGGCCCGTTAGGCTGTGTATACTTACTAGTCCGTCATGGGGAGTAATAGTAATATAATCCTAGAGCCAGAGGGTATATGTCACTATTTCGGAATAATGTGTACACTGTTAGGATCCTCATTGTACGATCTCGCACCTTACCAGATGTTCATTTGATGCCTTTAACTTAGATGTTATGTTATGGAAGATTTTTGATGCTGTTACATGTTATGTTATTCTGTTGTATCAAAAGTCGTTGCCCGGAGCTCCCCTATAGCTCCGTGACCTTTGCCTTAAGCCTATTCCCCCACTTAGGCCGAACGCACCGAGGGTACCCTCCTGGTGCGGTTCGTATTGAGGAATTGTCCTCCCTTAGCTTTTAGTTTTCGCCCCCCCCTTTTCTGCCCTACCCCCCCCTTCTTCCTCTCTCCCCTCTCCTACTCCCGCTCCCGACACTCTTGCCTCCACTCCCCCCCACCACAGTGACATCCCTTAATGTCAGGGGTTTGAACACTCCCGAAAAGAGATCCATGATCCTGCAGGAGTTTAGGAGACTTAAGAGTGTAATCTGCTTTGTCCAGGAAACTCACTTTCGATCAGACCAGGTCCCCAAATTTCACAACTTTTATTACCCTCATGCATACCACTGCTCCACGCCAGATTCTAAGACTAAGGGTGTGAGCATTCTGCTCCATCGTAACTCCGACTGGAAGCTTGTGGACACATGGGCGTGCCCGGAGGGGCGGGCCCTTTTTGTCAAGGGGACCCTGGGCGGTCAACCTTGCACCTTTGCCAATCTATATCTCCCCAATACCCGCCAGATCTCCTACTTGGAACAGGTACTGGAACGTCTCTCACTCTTTGCAGACGGGGTGTGGGTAGTAGGAGGGGACTTTAACTTTGTACTAGAACCATTGATAGACTCCTCTAAGTCCGCCTCCAGCATGTCCTACCCCGCACTTAAACGGGTTCGTAAATGCCTGCGAATGCACCAGCTGACAGATGCTTGGCGTCTGCTTCATCCTACTGACAGGGATTACACGTTTTTCTCTAACCCACACCAGTCCTACTCCAGAATCGACTGGTTCCTAGTCATACACACTGACCTCCCACGTTTACAAACCGCTACTATTGGCTCTATCTCCCTCTCTGACCATGCAGCGATTTCACTGGACATAGACTTATCCCAGTCGCCACCTCCCCCCTGGACATGGCGCCTAAATGAATCACTCTTGCAAAATGACTATATCCTAATCGGTACGCTCTGAACTACAATCCTATTTTTCCACCAATGCCACCCCAGATTGTACCCCCATGATTTTGTGGGAGGCACACAAAGCTTACATTAGGGGAATTCTTATCAAACACGGATCCCGTGTTAAACGTGCTCGTCAGGCCCAGATTACTGATATACTGGCCAAAATCCACGCTCTAGAGACTCTCCATAAACGCACCCTGGCAGCCGGAGCCTTGGGGGAACTGACGGCCCTGAGGGTCCGCCTACAGTCCCTTTACTTGTTTAAAGCAAAAAATGCGCTCACTAGATGTAGAAATACTTTCTATGAATACGGAGACAAATGTGGGAAAATTCTGGCTCGGGCTTTGCGAGCTCAACGAGAACGTTCCTTTATCTCCGAGATTTTGACTCGCAATAGTGCAAAGGTTTCCCAGACCGGAGACATAGCAGAGGCGTTTCGGCTCTATTATGAATCCCTCTACAACCTTAGGGGTGATTCTGGGGCCCAAAGAACCCGACCTTCTATAGAGACCATTCACGAATACCTACTATCCTACATGTATTCCCTATTGAATTCCCCCATTGCAGAGGACATCCCAGCTTACATCCGCAAGTGGGAACGGGATCTGGGGATCAGTTTTACACTTGCTCAAATAGCGAGACTTCATTACTTCACCTTTAAATCCTCCATTCACACGAAAGTCCAGTAATCCGGATTTAAACTACTAACTAGGTGGTACAGGACCCCACAACTCCTTCACTCGATGTACCCTTCGGTACCTGACAGGTGTTGGCGCTGTCAAGAAGCTCCAAGAGATCTACTTCATATCTTCTGGACTTGCCCCAGAGTGACCCCATTTTGGTCCACAGTTAAGTTACTTCTAGGCAAATTTACCGATCTCACACTGTTTTTCACCGATCTTACCTGTATTACCAGTATTACATATATCTGTCCTTCTCTTTTGTTTGGAAAAGACGGAAAACTTTTGAAAACTTTGAAATAAAGAATTTATAAAAAAAAGAAAAGGTTTAGAAAGGGCATCTGAGGTAAATACTTGTGCAAATGGGTTTGAATATAATGCTAATATGGCTGATATTATCCAGCCGGAGAGACTAAATTTGAAAAGAACATGTTTAAAGTAACCCCAGTGCACTCCATCAAATGCCTTCTCTGCATCCAAAGTAAGGCATAGATAAGGCATCTTAGAACATTCAGCAAAGTGAATCACATTGAGAACTATATGGGTAGCATCTGGAGCCCATCTACCTTTAATAAACCCTAATTGATCCGAATAGATCAATGAAGGAAGAACATCTATTAGACGATATGCTAGAATCTTTGCACAGTTTCAAATCTGTGTTGAGCAAATAAATTGGGCGAAAATTTTGAGGGCTAGTTGGATCCTTCCCTGGCTTCGGTAAAGTGATAATTGTCGCTGCAAGCATTTCAGGTGGAAAAGAGGCAGAGGTCGAAGCCACTTCAAAACACCCTAGCTAGATATGGGAGTAAATTAGATTTTAATACTGTTTGTCCTAACATAGGGTTAAAGACCCAGTAGCATTGTATGTTAATGAGAGGAAACTCAGTGTGTCCCTAGTCAATCTACTAGGACAGAATTCCTTTCAAACTGTTCAGAGTAGTTTATAGTCTGCACAAAAGTCTCCTCCAAACAAACAACTAAAGGGTAAGACATTTTTTTAATTATTTTTTTGGCATGCTGTGAGAATGGGAGCACATAGCAATCATATAGTGTGATTTCTTTAATTAGACTAGAAAAGTAAAAATACACATTAAACTTCTGAGTACCTAGCCTGAAGCAACATCAAATTTGAGCAATGCTTTGCCATAATGGGATCGCAAACATAATCAATGTATTGTTTGGTCCCTTAAATATTAAAAATGTATTGTACAAGGTAATGATCGAGGTCCTAGAACAGTAGGTAATAAAAAAATAAATTAAATGGAACACCAAGACTTAGTGCAATAAAAAGACATGGGGAAAGTTTATGAAAACTGAAGCAGACACAATCTGGAGCAGTTGCCCATAGTAATCAATCAGCTTCTCTCTTCAGTTTGTTCAGTTAAAAATTGAAAATGAAAGATAGATATTGATTGGTTGCCTAGGGTAACTGCTCCAGACTTTGTATGCTCCTGTTTTGATTAATTAACCTCACAGTATACATGTTTACATATAGTTGCTTATTGTTAATCTGACCTTACATACACACTTTTTATCTGTATTGCCTACTATAAATAAGTGGTATATTTTTAAAGCACCTTTATACTAATTGCAATAACCATTGCAAACATTATTGTTTGTATATGGTGGACAACACACAGGGTAGTTTATTTTTGACGGCCTTATCTTGCTTTGGTCCAATTATTTTGAATAAAAATTAATAATTCTCACTTTAAGGGTATCATTTAGTTAATAAAATTAATAGAAAGAAATTGATCAGGACAACTTACCTGTAATGCATAGGAGACAGAAAGCCCAACTAACCCAGGACTAAGAGTATACCTGGAAATTACTGCAAACAGGGAGGCAAATAAGACAATACAGTTTCCAACAAATTCCAGCCTGATGGCTAACCACCTATAAAAAGATATTACACCGTTTTAAAAATTGTCAGTTCATTACATTTACACAATAAAACATGGTGCATAGTAATTTAAAAGTAAGCACTAAGAACTGGTACATTTAGTTAGGACTCAACTCTACTCTGGCCTCAGAAACAGAGCATCAACATGTTCCTACAGCTGAAACTGTGTTAGGCCTTCATGCTCCATACAGGTTTTGAAACTCTTTGTTGGTATAATACTAATCACCTGTATTATTTGTAAACTTGAAAAAAAGCCCCAATAACAATTTGGCATTTATAGACATTTCAGTATAGCAAAACCGAGCATTTTTTATAAAAACAATCCAGTAATAACCAAACATTTTAATTCAGGAAAACCTGGAGACCTCATAAAGAAAGTAAAAAACATGTTGACATTAATGTATTTGGACATTTTACTACAGAACAAACGGTTTTACACTGGCCAATAAACTTGACAGACAGCCAAATTTTCCCCAAAGTGGCCACAAAATATATAACTTGAATGGACAGTGAATAAGGCAGTGTGGCAGGAACAGCCACATGTGTCGGCAAAACATTTTAATAATGTACCTGTTGGAGACTATGCTGGGGTAATAAGCTCTCTGATTTTCATCCACTCTGAAGTCACTGATTTGGATGAATTGCTTCTGCTCTCCAAATGCTCGGATGACACTTGCTCCTAGTAGTGTCTCATTAAAGTGTGAATACACAGGGGATCTACTGACTGACTCCAAACGTTTCAGCTGTCGTGAAGTTGCCACGTAAAATCTCTAAGAAAATAGAGAAGTCTGTAAAAGTAGTTTGTAGCAAAAAAATAATGATTTTCTCATCTTTATGCATTTAGTGATGTGGAGAACATGTGAATGACCAACTGTATTATTCAATATTAATAGTTCTCTTTTTTAAGTTGGCACCTAAATGTCTGACAAAACATGGATGTTATTTTGTTATTTGTAACAAAGTATATTGATTCTTTTTAAAACACATTCTAAGTACGTTTTGGCCAAGATAAATACATTTCTAACAGAAAAATGCTAGATCTGACAGGTTGCATCCAGCCGGGCTCCTTCCCCCCTCTCTCTCTCTCCCTGCCCTGTGTGACACTGACATAATAAAAAGATCGTGGATCGCTGATGACAGAGGGGAAGGAGCCCTCTCTCTCTCTTCAGCATTTACTACAAATGGGAAAGTCCATAAATGGTGTCACTGGGGATCCCTGCAGACTAGCAAGCATCTGATCTGCATGGATCTCCAGTGACATAATTTACCATATATGGACGTTCCCATTTGTAGTAAATGCTGAAGAGAGAGAGAGAGGGCTCCTTCCCCTCTGTCATCAGCGATCCACAATCTTTTTATTATGTCAGTATCACACAGGGCAGGGAGAGAGAGAGAGGGGGGAAGGAGCTGGCACACGGGGACGTGCAGGTAAGGAGAGAGCTGTTGCGCATGTCCATATATTCGTGGACGCGCAGCAGCTCTCAAGAATCACTGTCAGTCACAGTGAGGAAGATCAGTGGGGAGGATCCCGTCAGACACGTCGGGATGTCTCCTCATTGCGGCGCTTAGCCCCGCCCACCACCTTAAATAAGGGTTTACAGGCTTACTGTGCATTTTGGCTAACTAGAGTAAATTACATAATTTACTTATTTAGCCTAAGGAATGCATTAATCAAGAAAAGATAGAACCCCATAGTTCTCCTTTAATAAAGTTCTTCAGCATCATAATTCTGGCCTGGATCTCAGCTATGTGGGTCACTAGAAGAGGGTGGGTAATGCTAATGGGGCAGCTGTCTACCAAAATCCCCTAGACAAGCTATGGCTGAACTGGGTATTCCAGTGGCTCCTTATAGGGTAAATGTTACAGAAGGAATACATAAAAGCAATAATTGTAGTTATTTTCTATAGACCCGGAATTCAGCTTTAGGTCTTATGGTTTCCAAATGTTAGCTATTAAATTTTTAAAGCTAATGCTGAGCGTTTTCTCTGTTTTCTTAAAGGATATTTGTGCTGGAAAAAAATATACCAAACAATATCAAATATGCATCACAAAAATAAAAACAGAATCTAAACATATACTTTGAATTTAATTAAATTGACACTAAACTCATGAGTTAAAATCTTAAAAATGCATTCAAAAGTACCTTAACTATTAACAATAATGTATCTTATTTTGCATCACATAAAGTAGCCATCACGACTATCATGGACTTGGAGCAGTGGCTACTTTACAATACACACACACACACACACACACACGTGGCCACCCTCCAGAAAGAAGGACAGTGTCAGCACAAATTCAGAGATAACTGAAGGCTCTACAGCTGAGTGATATACAAATAATGTACATTTTTTGTTAATAGTTAAGGTACTTGAATGCATTTTTAAGATTTAACTCCTGAGTTTAGTGTGACTTTAATGGTGCTATATGGACATACATTGGCTCCTTTAATAAAATATTTTTTTAAAAAGCAAGCAGCATCTTCAGTTTCTATTGCCTCTGGAGTAGCTTCTTTCATTCTGTAAAGGTGCCAAGTGCTTTATGGCCATTACAATTCTTCATGAGGTCACCTTGCAGAACATTTTCTAATACCATTAGCAGCAAACAAGGGATTTCTATGATGAAACCTTTGAACATCCCAGGAGCTAAAGCTCTGCTACAAATAAGATTTATTATTTACTACTCTAATAGAGGGTTTCCTCTTTCATGTCCCATAGCATTTGATATGAAAGTATATTTAAACCGAAGAACAAGAATGTAATATATTGCAGCATACCAGTCTTTAGATGTGGTTTTTGCATTTATTTAGTTTTTTCAGGCTTAGTATATTTTCTCAAAGCACAGAAAAATATCTGTTAATTCTGCTAGAAATCTTAGGTCCTTGTTACTTCCTGTGTACGGAATTGAAATCTCAAGCAATTTGATAGAAGGGGATGTTTGTAGTCAGGAGTGAGCGACCGAATCAGGAGCGAGCAGGCTAGGGTGACAAAACTGCTCTTTCAAATATAAAGTATGGAAGTGCATTACTGGCAAGATCACCAGATGAAAATAAGAAAGGAAAACACATGAAAACTGATACAACCACCACATCCAAGTCGGGCTAAGCTGCAATATTATAGGATGTTTTGTACTGTAAAATCCACTTCTCTGTGCTCATTGGAGGACACAGCTCTGCTTTAGATCATCACACACTGGGTTTAGTGCCACCTTCAGGTGTAGGATGCTAGTTACAAATAAAAAACAAAAAACAACCCAGGGATGGCACCTTCTGGTGTCCAAATCTCACACCCCCCCACAAGCACACTGTGCAACAAGCTCAGTTAAACGACATAGCACTACAAAAAACAAAATATTTGAAGATGTGGGCAGCAGCAAAGCCAGAAAGATGGGTTCTCCTAACACAGATTTACTTTAGATCATCACCTGCTGGGATTTCCCAAAGCAGTGCCAAAACAGGGTGGGCAAACATAAAACAGAAAGCCAAACTGTCTGAACAGAAAACAATACAAGACATCCAGACTGATGTCTTCAAAACAGTTATCAGAAGATGCTGCCACATCCACCTTTCAAAACATGGTAACTGTATGAACAGACGCCAAAGTGGACACCTTACAAATAAGAAATTGATGCTTGATGACAAAAAAAAGCCCAGGATGCACTTACTGATCTTGTAGAGTGTGCTGTAACGAGAACTAGTGGTTCTTGGTGCTTGATAGCATACGCCTGGACAAGAGTTCACCTAATGCAGTGTGAAACAGTAGCAGTTGACGCTGCAAGGCACTTATGTGAGCCATATGCAAACATGAACAGCGAATCTGACCTACGAAACATGGATGTGGCATTCAAATATACCCTAATCACCCTGACTACATTCAAAGAATGTAAGACAACTTCCTTAGAGTAGATTGGCTTGGGACAAAAGTAAGAGTAGAGTAGAGTAGATTGGCAGGAGCACAATGTCTTCGTTCATGTGAAAAGTAAATTCTGTGAAAAGTAGTCTCTTGGGTGCAGGACGACCTTATCCTTATGAAAAAAAATGGAGGCTTGTAAGACAATGCCACCAGTTACGAGACTCTACAAGCCAAAGTAATGGCTACTGTGGACAACAGTTTCTGATGGAGTGTTAGCAGAGGGGTCCCCCTAATATTCTGAACAATACCATGTTATAGTTCCACAGTGGTCTGACCAGAGGGGTGATGTAACACCCTGAATATAGTTGAAGACAAGCGGCAGCGATGACAGAGGTAGTTTAAATAAGTTATTTAATGCTGACATCTAACCCTTAACTGTACTTAAGGCCAACTGCTACCCCACACTGGAGAAAAGCCAAAAGATGGGCAATATGAAAAAAAAAGTCATAACATGGCACCTGGCTTCCTGATTGGCTGGGAAGCCGGCTCCATGCTACCCTGTCACCAGGTGATGAGGAAGCATGGAGCCTGCTTTTTGGCCAATCAGGAAGCTGGGGGGCTGGGAAATGACTAGCCGCCCGGCTTCCTGATTGGCTAGCTTCCCGACCAATCAGGAAGCTGGGCAGCAGGTCATTACACACCACCTGGCTTCTTGATTGGCCGGGAAGCCGGCTCCATGATCCCTCATCACCAAGTGAGCATGGAGCCGGCTTCCCGGCCAATCAGAAAGCCGGGGGTGAGTCATTACATGCCCCCCGGCTTCCTGATTGGCTGGGAAGCCAGCTCCATGGTGACGAGGGAGCATGGAGTTGGCTTCCCAGCCATTAAGGAAGCTGGGCAGTGTGTATTGGCTTGCCTCCCGGTGAGTACTCGCCCAAATACTCGGTATAGGCACTAATACTAGTATTGGTGCATCCTCAGTATTTATATAGCGCTGACAATTTATCTAGCGCTTTACATAGTGCACGTTCAGTCCCAGCCCTCAAGAAGCCTTTAATCTAAGGTTCCTATCTCACATGCATACAGGGTCAATTTAGACAGGAGCCAATTAACCTTCCAGCATTGGGAGGAAACTGGAGTACCCGGAGGAAACCAATGCAAGCACAGGGAGAACATGCAAACTCCTTGCAGATAAGTGTCCATGACCGGGATTTGAACCGGGGACCCTCAGTGTTGCAAGGCAGAGCACTTCACCCAGTAGGGTAGATCTAAAACAAAGTTGTGTGCAACAAATAACAAAAAAACTGTCAACCTTTACACAGCACTTTATATACTGTACATTCACATCAGTCTCTGCCCTCAAGGAGCTTACAGTCTAGGGTCCTCATCTCACCTGCAAACTGATAGTAGGATCAATTTAGACAGAAGCCAATTACCAGCATGTCTTTGAAATATGGGAGGAAACAGAAGTAGACCCAAACCCGAAGAAAACCCAAACAAGCACAGGGAGAACATGTAAACTCCATGCAGCTCGTGTTCTGGATACATTTTAACTTCTGATAAACTTGCTGGTTTGATCAGCACTATTATTAAATCTGCTATAGGACCTAAACCAGCGTGGTAAGGGAGGTTTATTCTACAACACTGCATTTTTATATATACCTACATTAATTTATCCTGTCTACAGTCAAGAACATGTTCTGTTTCATGCCACAAACACTGACTGCAGAGGTGAGGCCACATTAGCGAAATGAGTTGTTTTCCCCTGCACTTCTAGACAAGGATGTGCTCTGAGGCATTTCAGTGTTACTTCTGTATTCAACTGACATTTGTTAAAAAGGTTTCAGGTAGGTGTGTGTGTAATATATATATATATATATATACACATACATATATACACAGGACCCACTGAAGTGTGTAGGTCATGTATCCTTCATCAGCTTAAAACTTGTTTCAGGTCAGCAATTAAATGGGTACTGAAACAAGGATATAGAAGATAACCTCATAACTTCTATCATCAAACACAAGTCAGCAACAGAAATTCAAATGGTTCCATCTTGACAGGTGTCCTTTGAAACCCAACTGCAAGCAAACAATTTCTATTGTTTTAACATGAGTGGAGGTTGGTTAGACTCTCTGTCATCTTTTTAATTGCGGTCACTATGCCAGTTTTGGAGAATTTTATTCTCTTCCCATCTAAGGCCCCCATGTTTGAACAGGAAGTGGGGGGGGGAAATCTCTCAAACAAGGATTTAGACATCAATAAAAGGAAGAGAGATAGGAAGAGAGAGTGAAAATCCCTTTTTAACAGGACCACACATAGTATTAAAACCTTTCCCAAAAATAGGTTCTGAAAGCAGTCATGGTGTGGCTGAGATTGGAAAGGCACACATTCATATGCTTTATGTAATTCAACATAATGTAAATTGTGAATTACAAATCTGTGGTCACAGGTGGTAAACTTTGCAATGTGTCAGCTTTTTTGCATACTTGCCAAAGACTCTTTATTGTGGTAAGCATATACAGGCAGTCCCCGGGTTACATACAAGATAGGGACTTTAGGTTTGTATTTAAGGTGAATTTGTATGTAAGTCGGAACAGGTAAATTTTTTTAGTGCAACTCCAGCCAAAAAAATGTTTTTTAGTTTTGGATAGCATAGGGAAGGGTCACGGTCCTTTTGCTGTCTGTTCCTGTTGTTCAGAAGATAATATAATTTAAAACATTTTTTATTTAAAATGACACAGCAAAAAAGGTTTTTTTCTATTTTTAATTTTATAAACTTAATTTTTTTTATTGTTTGCCTTTTTAATTTATTTAACTTTTTCTTTACTTTGTTTACATTTTTTTGTCTTTTTAATTTTTTTTAAACTTTTTTTGTATTTTAATGCTGGGAGCCATAGCCAGCCTGCTAATGGATATTTCAAAATGCAATAGCCAATAGCAGGCTGGCTATTGCATCTGCCCACTGCCAATCAGCATCAGGTCCCCCCATGCTGATTGACAGCAGACAGTGGGCGGGTGCAATAGCCAGCTTGCTATTGGCTATTGCATTTTACAATATCCAATAGCAGGCTGGGTATGGCTCCCAGCCTGCAATGAAGAGTAGGCAGGGGGGCGGGGCAGAGGAGCCGCGCCCGGACCAGGAGACCGGAAGATCGTCCGGACCGGGGAAGCCCACGGAACTGCTGAAGAGGAAGCCGGCACATCTGCGGAGGTACGTGGGGCATCAGCGGTATGCAGCGGTGTCCCCGCTGCCTCCGCCAACACAGGCCGGAGAGCAGCGGGGATTTGAAAGGACACAGGCCGCTGCAGCCACAGTTCTCCTTAATGTACCGGCAGCTGCCGATACATTTAGGAGAACTCTGGACCCCGTTTTTAAGTACGGATTGTCTGTAAGTCAGACGTCCATAACCCGGGGACTGCCTGTATTTGTAGAAAAATTGCCTTAAAAAGGCAGGAACAATATGTGTTGCAAGAACTATTGCAAGTCTTTATTAGATCTCTAAACTAATGCGTGTGTCATTAGCAGCTGAAAAATACCCACCTGAACAAAAAAGTAGAGCAGCCCCAGGGGTGGAATAATTACAGCTACTATCGGTGTTGCAATCAGAATTATAATGCATGCCCCCATTACATTAAACAGGGAACCCATGAACATCTTAATAATCTGGGGAATCGTAGAATCAATAGTGTCCATCTCTTTGGAGAAACGATTTACAAGATTTCCACTTGGAGTCTTCTCAAAAAATCTCATAGGGAATCTCAGAACATTATGAAGCAAATCCATATGTAGGTACCGAGAAGCAAGGACGCCCCCTAGAGACACTGTTGTGGAATATCCAAAAACTGCAATGCCTGGAATGTGCAGAAAGAAGAAATGAACAGATCAGCACCTTTATCAGTCTTCACATAGTAATATATAGCAGTAGAAGGGGATATAGATAATCATATTATTTATTAGTTCATGGGGGAAACAGAAGGCATGTGGATTTATAGTATGCCCTTGTTCTATCAAAGTTTGTGACCGGTCACGTTGGTCACACATTTTAACGTAATTTTTCGGTGGTGGAATGTGTGACCGGCAATAGGTCAAGCATTCCAACGCTTTCTCAGCTGTTCCAGGGCAGATCGGCATCGCAGATCGCATGTGCAGGAGAACCGATCTGCCCTGTTACAGCTGATCGGTCCTGAAATGTCACTTCTATCCGACTTTGTGAGTGCGATCTCGCATTCCACAAAGTCAGATAGAAGTGACATTTCAGGAACGATCAGTGGTTCCAGGGCAGATCGGATCTCCTGCACATACGCTCTGCGATGGCAATCTGCCCTGGTATAGCTGAGAAAGAGTTGGAATTCTTCACCTTTTGGCGGTCATATATTCCACCGCCGAAAAACTGGGCGTGATTAGGTTAAAATGTGTGACACATGACCGGTCACACATTCCAACCTAGTCACAAACTTTGATAGAACACCCTGCAAACTAGCTTTGCTGCCCCCCTTGTAAAAAGTGTGTCTGTCATTAACGAACAGAAACGAAAAAGCTCAGTCATGAAGGGGTTAATCTCAGATCAATCCCCTTACTCCCATTTACCTCCAAACTCTTAGAATGCCTAATCTACAACTGCCTGAGCTGCCACCTCAGTGATGACAACGCCATCGACCCTCTACAGTCCGGCTTTCACCCCCAACACTGCTGAAACTGCCGTCTTAATGCTCACTAATAACTTCCTAACTGCTAAAAACAATGTCCACTACTCCTTACTCTTGCTTTTAGACCTTTCTGTTGCTTTTGATATAGCTGACCACCCTCTGCTCCTCAAAAAACTCCACTAGCTTGGCCTCCAAGATACTGCTTTCTCTCATGGTTCTACTCCTACCTAAGCACTCCTTTAGTTTCGCCTACAAATTTAACTCACCCTCTCCTCTTTCTGTAGGGGTCTTCCAAGGCTCTGTCCTTGGACCCCTATGCTTGCCTATCTACACCTCCTCCCTTGGTCAGATGATAACCTTGCATTGCTTCCAATACCATCTCTAGGTCCACGACACTCAAATATATCTCTCCATTTCACAACTTAAACTTCAGTTTCCTTTTCCATCACTAATTTACTGACATATGGGTCTAGATATAACAACACTTCTTAAAACTCAATCTTTCAAAAACGGAGCTCATATTTCCGCACTGGAACGCACGGTGCCGCAATGCTGTGCTTTTGAGTGCAGTGCGATTGCAAGAAAAATTGTGCATGCAGTTTTATTCTGAATTAAACTAAATGTTTGTAACACTGCATTTGTGTATTTTATTTTAAATTAAGGATGGTATTTATTTAATTTTTTTTTATCCGATCAAAAAAAATGAATCGGCCAAATAATCAATTACGAAAATAATCATTAGTTGCAGCCCTACAAAATTCATAAGTGGCTGTTTGATGCCGAAGACCCTGAATGGCAGAATCCTCCATCTTTATAATTATTGTGGCGAAACCACTTGCTTACGTCCTTGAAATACAATGGTCAGTAAGACCAGTAAGTCTCTGCCACATTTCCTGCTTTTGCTGGTTTCTACTATAAGGCTTTTGCATATTCCATTATACATTAACATGTAATAAATGCTTTACCAAGTAATGCCAGCAGCGCGATCATGAAGGTTTTCAGTTTTAAGAGAGAAGTTAGTATGATGCAACAGACAAAACACACATATACAACAGATTCAAAACAATGACAAGATAAACAGTTAGCGCCAACCTTGTGACATTCCTAACGCTCCATAAACGCTAAGTCTCATTTTCGTGTTCTGCTGGGTGCCATTGACTACTTCATCATCGGTCCATAAACTGAGCCAGTAGTTGGAAGCCAAGGAAGAAACATGATTGCAGAAAAACAGAATTACGCTCAGGAAAGATAGAAGGAGACCTATGGCTTTCATGTATTCCCAGAACACTGCCATTTTAACCTGTAATAGAAAGAAGCAAGTTGCTTTAGTTTAAGATCAGATGTTTATGGGTGCCTTCTTTTTTCCAGTGTTATTAATTATTGGTTGCTAAGGTGATGTGTGTAACAAAAGAAAACTATTGATTTGTATGACATGCTATGGACCTGCTATAACAATATACAAAGCAGAGCAGGATTTGTTCAGCACTAGACACACACTGGTACTTGTAGATCTAGCAATGTTTTATGCGATGTTCACACGAACATCACAGGGCTGTAATTGTAGACTTATTCTGTGTTCCTAGTAGGTTTTTGCTACATGTGACATGCTGTGGGCGGCAAAATATGCAAAGGTCCTGATTAGGGGAATGAGCAATGTATTAGGTGAAATAAACCACAATATCAACCAGAAACTACCCATTTTTAGGACTGCTAGATAAAAGTTGATTGTTTTCTAAGGATTTTTGCAAATAATTGTTCATATCAAATCTTTTCTAACAATGTAGTAAAAAAGGTAATCAAACAATTTATCTTATCTGGAAGCAAAAACCAAGCAGAACCTCACCCTGCCAGTTTTGGCCTTGTCAGCTTCAGTCAGTTTCCAGACCTCTTTCTCAGTTCCTGATTTCTGGATGTCAGCAGTGCTGTTCTGCTGTGTAGACTTTGTTTCAGATGATACACTCAACTGTCTGTTCGGAAACAAAATGTACTATTTATTTCTGGAATTCTGTTGTCAAATGGCTATTATTTGGGCTAGTAAAAAAAAAAAAAAAAGGAACTGAATGAATGTTATATCTTAAGATCCCCAAAACAGAAGAGGGGCCTTATTCAAGTTACATAATTGGTAAGGTTGAATAAAGACACAGGTCTTGTTAACGTGTGTGTACACGTTAACAACTCCCATATCGCTGTGTATCCTGTTAACTGAGCAACTCGTCTTTTTTTTTTCAGCTGATACAACTGCGGAAGTGATTTCCACATTTTTACTGCTCTGGCAGTTACAAAAAAAACAAACCCTTAGGGCTTGTTCACACGAGTTAGTGCATTCAAGCATGGTTAGCGGCTTAAACGCACTGTATCACATCCTGGCTGGCTTCCTGCCTTCAGAAGTATAGCCGTGCATTGAAATCAATGGCCCTGCAGCCACACCCCCCACAGTGCAATCGCCTGCACCAGAACTTGTGGCACTTCAATGCATGCGTTCCAGTCCAGTGGGACTTGGAAAAAATGCTGCATGCACTAGACTGGAAAGCAGGCATCCATGTGCCACATTATCTGGTGTGGGTTATCGCACTGCAGGCCATTGACTTCAATGCACCACCACGCCCCCTCCCGCCCCTGAACGCAGGAAGCCAGTTGGGATGAGATACAGTGCATAACAGCAAGCTAACTGCGCTGGAACGCACTATAACTTGTGTGAACAAGCCCTTACACCAGGGGTGTCAAACTCAATATTATTGTGGGCAGCATCAGTATTATGGTTGCCATCAACGGGCCAATTGCATCTGTAAGACTATATAAATGTATCTAGTCTTTATCATATTAAATAATTGCCTCTGCATTGACTTATTACTGATTTTAGTAATAACTTAACTAGCTGTAAATGTAGAAGTCTAAGAAAAATAATGGCAATTAGTGTAATAGTGCAGACTATCAGGTGGCCGAGTACTCATGAAAATGCCCAGTATCGGCACAGACACCGGTGCATCCCTGGTCAGTATTTCCAAAGGGCAGAACACTGATTGCTGAGACATGGTAAGGGCAGAGACTAGGGGGGGGGCACAGCTGCAAGAGAAGTGTGAGGGCTTTGTGTTTGACATGTGTGCTTTACACAGTCTGAGATTAAAGAACATCTCATCCATGTGTCAGCTTCAGATTTCTTAGTTTAAACCTTGTATTTTCTATACTGCAGTCCTCATTGATGAGTTTGTAAACTGCAATCATATGCCCTCTTAGGAATCACTTCTCTAAGATGAAAAAGTAACAAGAATAACTCACGCCCTTCATCTCCCTTATTAATGTTGTTGCCCTTCTCTGAACTTTCTTAGCTTAAAGACAGCCCTCATGAATATGGATCGCCAAAACTGAACAGTGTGCTCAAGATGTGGCCAAACCAGTGTTTTATAAAGTGGTAGAGTTATGTTTTTATCTCTTGCAAAAATCCCTTTAAATGCAAGATAGTATTCTGCTCCCTTTGCTAGCTGCATCTTGGCACTGCATGTTATTCTTAAGCCTGTGGTCTAAAAAGACCCCCAGATCTTCCTTTATTTCCAACTTTAGGAGTGTCTCCTAAAGAGTATTTTGCATGCAAGTACATCCAATTGCATAACTTTACTTTTTTCAATACTGATTCACATATGCCATGTTGCAGCCCACTCCTCAATTCTATGCAGGTTTTTCCTGCAGTGATTCCAGGTCTTGAGTAGTTATTGCTCTACATAGCTTTGTCTCATCAGCAAATAGTGATATTGAGCGATTTATTCCAACCTCTATATAGTTTATGAGTTCCTGATCCAAAGTCTGCATACATTTGAAATAAAGGTTTAAAAATCCTTATGACAACCCACAGCATCACTATAAATGCATATATCTGGAGGTATGCATTTCAAAAATGCATGTAAAAATACACAATGCATCACAAAGTAAAGCATCTAGATGTCTATTTATACATTTGCAATCAAAACTGTCTTGTTCCCCATTGTGTACAATCATAGTTTATTTTTAAAGTAGAAGCTAAGTCTATTCTTTAAAAAGTGCTGACAGGCAGGCTTTCTATGACTGAAGAGACTGTGTAGGTCAATCAAGTGGCTGAAGACTCGACACTCAGAAAAAGGCATGAAAGCGGCAGTGAGGAAGGAGAGCACAGGCATCGCAGCACTGGAGGAGATAGCTGTGGAAGGCAAGACTGTCATAATGTGCTATTATGAATATATATACCGATCAACCATAACATTATGACCACTGAGGTGAAGTGAATAAGATTAACTCGATACAATAGCACCAGGAAGTGGGTGGGATATATTGGGCTACTCCAAATCTCTTGTGGGATGTTCCCCTTCCGTAGTGGTCAGAATGTAACAAAAGTGGTCCAAGGAAGGTAAACCGGTAGGCAAGGTCATGGGTGGCCAAAGCTCATTTGATGCATGTGGGGAGCAAAGGCAAGCCTGTGTAGTCTGCTCCAGTAGAAGAGCTACTGTAGCTCAAGTTGCTGAAAAAGATAATGCTGGTTCCAATAGAAAGGTGTCTGAACACACAGTGCAAAACAAATGGCAAACGCACTCATCAATTCGTTACCAGCTTTACAGCATTATATATATATATATATACACACATACATACATACATACACATACATATACACATGCATACACACAGTAATTCCTGTAATTCCAAGGTTTGGTTTAAAAATATTTGTAGTGATTGTTCAGAATATGTTATTATAATCAGCACAGCCTGGGGGCAGGTTCACTTTTAATCTCTGGAAAAATGAAACAAAAAAATCTGACACAAACCCACTTTTGCTCTCTTCTTTCTTTAAAAGTCTTCAGTGCATTTGCATCAAATAGACTCTATAAAAAATATTACTACATTTGTAGGTTCATAGATAATATATTCACGTACCGCTGTAGAAACTTCTCACTTTTTTCATTCATCAACATTCCATTTTCCATATGTTTTTCTTCTGTAGGGCTCGGCACTTCTATGGGGAATGGGGAAGACAAACATATAATTCAATGTAAATCCTAACTGCAACCAAATAATATTTGTTGTGGAAAACTCAGCGTTCAGCTCCGTTCACACCTAGCATTTTCTGGCCTAAAAAAGATTAAAAAAACATCCCATCCATTACTATGGCCATGTTCACATCTGACCGCTTTGACGCTTGTAGCAAAACACCTGTCGTTGGGAAAAATACATGAGCTTCTTTTTGACAGATTGAGCTCTTTGCCCCATAAACGTCAATGAAAAAGCTCAAAAACGCGTGTTTGCCGCGTTTTGCATGTGTTTTACACACGTTTGCCCATTTACATCAATGTACCACAATCTGCTTGCAAAAACATGGGACTTGATGTGCATAAAACAAGCAAAAGCACGCAAAAATCGCGCATAGAAATAAGGACACTGTCGCCTAGGTGTGAATCCAGCCTTATGACAATCCACCTTATTCAACACTAAATTGCATTTATTTTTATATTTACTTTTATCAGCAGAGCAGATGTAACTGAAATGGCTATTATGTAGTACTCTGAGCATTCTTGTTTACCTTAAAAATAACTAGCCATGATGCAACCCAGGCATTACTAACATACTTTAGCATTCACCACTATCAGCTTTTGATTGCAGGAAAAAATACAAAGCACCATTGCATTAAAGGAAAGCTTGACAAGCTGTAAATGTAATATGTTTATACAGTTACAGCTATAAGTACTGGTAATTCTTCCCAAAGAATTCCAATTTGCTTTAAAATGAATTTCAACTGATTCCATTCTTCATGCTAGTCTATAGCGCAGATACTTTTTGCTTTATGATTTAACCTTTTTGTAAATAATAAAACAAATTAAAATGGTAGAGGCATAACTGTTACCCATAACCTAAAATTTTGTAGCACATACTTTTGAGACCATAACTTCAATTCAAATGCTTTCTGTAACTGTAAGAGAGTACTTGCACTTCGTAACTGGTCATTTTTCCTACTCTTCTTGAACAAACTGCTCCAGTTGTCTAAGCGTTGATGGGGTTCTTCTCCCAACTGTGAGTTTTAGCTGTTTATATAAATGTTTCTCTTGATTCACATAAAAGACTCATTGCAGGCCACTTGCTTGCTTTTTAACCAAACGCCCTTGGGTTCTCTCAGATGTATGTTTGGGTCCTTGCTGAGGGACCAATGACTTGCATTTGGCACAGAGCTTTCAAACAATTAGCACTGTGTTCAATAGGCTTTCATAATCTGATGATTTTATAGTGTCCTATACAAATTTTAGACACCTGCTGCCAAAATTAGTTAAGTACCCGGTAACATTATGAAGCCTTCTCAATGTTTCACATTAGAGAGAGTTTACTTTGCAGTTTTTTTGTGTCTTTCAGAAGTTGGGTCTTCTACCATGGAGGCCAGTTCTATTCCGACAGACAGATGGTGAGACTTGATACAGTTGCATCTTGATTTAGGAAGTCAACCAAGAACGATTTAATTTAATTTTCCTTGGTTCTTTCTCCACTGTATGATTATATTTCTGTTCACTGTGGTGTCCATTTTCAACTAGCAGCCAAATCCAGGGAGATTGGCTATGATACCATGGACCTTTAAGGCCTAAATAATATTAGCTACCGTGGTCACAGGAACACAACTCCTTTTTGAGATGGCTTTGTGGGCTAGTTTACACCAGCCACAGAGGCAGCTCTTTCCCACTTCATTTTGTTCTCTCTGCCTCCCTAGTTTGTCACAGTTAGCAAAATTTAAAAAAATTGTACATTTCAAGGTTCTACAAAAATATTTTTTTAGGAAACAAGTAATGGGTTAACAATTTAATTTTCTTCTGCAGCAATGGAAGTAAAATATTTTTTCAAAACCTGTGGGTATAGTGCCACCTACAGGAAGATTAAACACCATGCTCAATTATAGCATAGCATAGCATTATGATCTTAATGAAAACCATGCAAACTGTGGCAACAGTCCAACCAAAATATAAGAAAATGAGTGGGGAGAGAGGGGTGTTTTTTTAATGAACATTGAACAAAAACAAAAAAAAAAGAGCTGGGAGGAGATCCTGGACTTGCAACTCTTTAACCTCTTCATGACTGAGCTAGTTTTCAGTTTCTGTTCATAAATGACTGGCACACTTTTAAAATTTTGCTGTGTGATTCTTCCACTGCAGTAATATACTTTCTTACTAAATGTACCCACACATATTATATATTGTTTTTTAGAGGACAGATAGGGCTATATAATTAATTATATCAAACGTGTACCTAACGCCTCACTTGGTTCGAATAAAATGTAAACAAAATGAGGAAAAAAAACCGTAAAGAAAACGTTTTTTTATTTTTTTTACACTTTGTAAAAAAAACAAAAAACTTTTTTTTGTGTGTCAGTTTATATCAAGCAGTCACTATGATAAATTAACTTAAATTTTTGGTTATTATTAGGCTGCTCCAAACATAGGAACAGCGAATAACCTTAGAGACTGATCCTGACAGCATTCCAGAATCAGATCTCTCTAAAGGTCTTTGATCCTGCTCAGACGAACAGAAGTGATACATTTCACGAACTGATACATTGTAATATTCCTGTGCTTGAAATGTATCAAACGTCAGGCGTCTATCAAGCTGTCAAAACGAATAGCAGAGAGGTGACTCACTCTGCTACCTCTCTGTTATCTTCAGCTGTAAAATAGGGGATCGCTATTTAGCGATCCCGTATTTGTAGGCAACGGCTTCATTCTTTTACAAAAGCTTAACTATTTCATTAATGAATGCCTCAACACTGAGGAGGCATTCATTAATTACTGGTAAACGCTGAGAATAAGCGGTTACCAGCTTTACAGAGCCTTAAGTAACTAGTCACGTACTGTGTACGTGGCCAGTCATATAGGCACTTTGTGGCGGGACGTACAGTGTACGTCTCCCGTCACGAAGGGGTTAAAGTCATGTAACCAGCCCCTCCTCCAGTCACGGAGTTTGCAGAATTTATTACACATGCACAAAACAGACACTAGCATGCTCCAAGACAAACCTTCTTCCTCTTCCACTTCTGTATGCTCTGCATATATGGCAGCATGTGGTATAAAGATATGCATAGTTAGGAACATTGCAGTTTCATTGCTCAGTGTGGTCTCTGTAGATCAAATAATTCTTCATGCAAAACGAAAATAAAATACATAGAATACTAAAGTTGGGATCACACTTGCGCCTTATCACACAAATACATGTGTATGCTTCCATTTATTCTGAATGGCGCTCATACGCACATAGTGAACAGTAAAAAAAATGCACCTGTGCTATAGTGCACCACAATGTACACTTAACACTCTGTTCCTTGTGGCGTGCTACTCTTTAGCAGATAGTACCGGTGTGATATTCTCCAATTACAATGATAGAGATTTTGAAATTAAAAAAATGTGTGTCCTGTAACATGACGCACGTATGCTCGCACGGGGCGGAGCTTGGAAGACGGATGCCGGCATCGGCCAGAGAACACAGCGCGGCTCGAGGCACAAGGTAAGTAAATGCTATGCGGCATTCCTGAGTGTAGCTCCGGGTTACCGCTTATGGTATGGAAAAGTAACCCCGAGCTACACTCGGGAATACCGCCAGAGAGGTTAATAGTGTGCCCCTGTGGGCAACAATATGTGTGAAGGGCCACAAGACAATTAAAAGTAAGAATCCAGGAGCATATCAGAAATGGCTTTGATAAGCACAGCTGATATAAAATTTCATGTTGTATCATGGATGTAACCCAAAGGGATTGAAGTTCTATGGGTCTGAGCCACCAGGCATTGGAGAGGATGTAACCTAAAAAGATATATTTTGCAGAAAGAAACTAAGTGGATATTCCTATTAGAGACGATGCAACCAAAGGGTTTAAACACTGACAGACTTGAACGGTTTCCTCACCAATGATTAAGATAATTTTATAAATTTGAATGTTTTATGGGATTTTAGAAAAATTATTTATACAATTCCCCTTAAATATTGATGTATTTAGCTTTTTTTAGAGTGGTAATTTATTGATAATTTATGTATATTCCTTATAATGGTGATTTTTAAAAATATAATGCATCCTCCATTATGGAATTGTTTTAATATAATATGTGGGACTCCCTTAGCATAGATCCTACCTTGTGTATTTATAGCTATTTTAAATTAATTTTGTTGTAATTTGTTTTTTTAATATGTGCTTGTTAATAGTACTTGTAAGGTATCGGGGTAATTAGATATGATGACATCTAGTTGCCACTGATAGCATGACATTGTAAGCTCACAATTGTGGTGCTGACACCTAGTGGTCACTGAGAGATGGGGCATTCTGAAGCGCAGTAATGTCAGAACTATAAATAATGAGACACAGGAAACTTCAGTAAGAACGGTGACCCTTGAAAGAAGTCATGTGACGAGACGCGGCAGAGGGCGGGGTATACATGTTTCCTGTTGCATGGACGCTGCTGGCATTTTAGGGTTACAAAGAAAAAGTGAATTTACCGCGGTTGTTTGCAGGTACGATTTTAATCTTTTTTTATAAAGTTTACGAAAAATATTACACAATGCGAGGTACTAATTTTTTCCTTTAAGTGTATCTGGGATTAGATTTGAAAGCCGAAGGATTGGAGTTGCCGAATAATGCAGAGGATACAGGAGGATTGGAGAAGATATATGTTTAGAGTGATATACACCATAGCACATGTGGCTTATCCTGTATATGGTATCCCTATAAATCTGATTTGGAAACAGAAGGATTGAAGTTGCCTATTAATCTGGAGGATACAAGGGGAGTGGAGGAGACATATTATCGGAGTGAAATACACTCAAAGCGCACAAGGCTTATCCTAAACAGGGTAGCCCTATACATCTGAGTGCGGTTTCTTGAATTATGAGCATGGTGGTGTGGATTGGCACGGTGATTTGTAAACACAGAAGACCGTTTTTAGTCATTGTTTTTATAACTTATATTTAAAACATATATAATTTTGGACACAACAGGATCAGTACACATAATATATATTTGACAGTAATAATGGTGCATTGTTTGATGTTATTGGTATAATTTTGAGTTCTCACTTATGTGCATGTACACAAGTCCTTTTTTTTTTTTTTTTAAAGCGCAGTACATGTATATCTATAAACGTTAGTCACAGCATATGACATTTTCTATGTTTCTACATCACCTTGTGCATTGTTCTGCTCAGCACTGGCATATGTACGCAAGAATTCTGCAAAAGCACCATCCTGTTCCAAAAGCTCCTGGTAGGAACCAATTTCAGTTATTTTTCCATCCACCATCACAATAATAGAGTCCACTTGTGGCAGGTAACTCACTCCATGAGTTACAAGTATACGAGTCTACAGAAATAATTCAACACTATGTAGTTACAGTAAACAAGTGCAATTAAAATTCCAACAAATATAAGGAAGAAGTACTGTACAAACTTCCAGTGACCTGAGTTGCTTCCATTATTTTGTAAAGTAATGCACAAATGTCCTTATCTTCCAGGTAAAAACAAAAGTGCCTGAAATTCAGCTAATAAACTGTTAGAATGTAGACTTACAAAGTTTAACACGTTTTTACTCCTTTTGACTCTTCCACATCTTATAGTGGACCAGTCTAGAATTAATATCGATTTAGGTGTGATTTTTACTATTAAACTTACGCATAACAGGTGCAATCCATTTTTTTTTTTTAACATTGTGAGGTAAAAGTCAGTAAAAATCAAAACTCCCTATACATGTTTATGTGGTAAAGCCTCTATAATCATTGCACATCTTACTCCTACAGCTTTTCCCTACTGTAATCGCTCTAGCTTTGTAAGCTTGAACAGGGATAAACAGCAATTCCTCTTTCCACTACATAAGAGCACCCAGTTACATTTTGATTTATATTTTATACAGTACTCACCTTATCTTTAAGTAGGCCTTTAGGCCCAATGACTTTGTCAAAGATGTGCTTCCCAACATGGGCATCTACAGCAGATAGTGGGTCATCCAGCAAGTAGACATCAGCATTGCAAAAAACAGCACGGGCCAAGCTCACTCTTTGCTTCTGACCTCCTGATAAGTTCACCCCCTAGCCAAGGAAAAACACAATTAATTTTACAGTTAAAAACTGAAAATGCTGAAAAACATAGGCCTTCAAACGGCATTTTCCTCGACACTGTCACCTTTCTTTGCATGGGTAAAGTGATAGTATCTCTTTAGGTGGAGGTCCACCTGGTATTGCAACCATCAAAATCATTAATTAGCACTTTTGCTTTCAGTACCACCAAGGATGTTAACAGAAATAAGGTCAGCATGAAATGTAACTTATGCCCAACTTATTAGAGGATTGCATTCAATGATAACTCACCATGTTATATCTCTGCTTTTGTTTCAAAGCATGCTTTTTGAAGTTATCAGCATGTTGAAGCTGACTGTTACACTGCAGTATTGAATTTGTAAGAAAAAAAACAATCCCATAACCATTAATAAACCATAAATACATTAAGACTCATTAAAAAGGGAATATCAAAGCGCTAAAGGTATAGGTTGTATAGGACTTGGTACAACCAAGTATACAAGTGAGACTATAATAATCAAGTAAAATTAATACATTGTTGCATTAAATCATCAATTAAATTATGTAGAAAAAAACGTGATGACCTATCAAAAGTCTATAGCCAATATGTACCAATATGCAGGCGATCCACAAAAAGCACCTTAAAATGTGGAATATAACATGGGTGCAAAAAATGAAAAAAGTCATGAAGGGGTTAAAAAGTCATAGGAAATGTATACAGGAAAAAAATGTTGATGGTGTATTTCAGTGGTAGTCCGACAACCCTTCTTAGATGGGTACTCACCAAATGGAGTTAGTAGAAAGGCTTTTGATTAGTGGCACTTAGGCTTACGGTCACGCTTTATTTTGGACCCGGTTGTTTCTGCTCTGAGACCCAGCAGGGTGAGTGTTTTGTCTTCTCCCTTGCAGCGCTGACTGTGTCCCAGAAGCGCAATGATGGATTTTCTCAGATATGGTGTTGGCGAAACTTCTCGCCGTGGTCCCACGATATTTTAGGAATAAAAGAGGGAGAAAGCGCTCATGGTGTAGTAATTAAAAGTGTACACATTTATTAAAAATAGTAACTTACACAGGCAGTTGAAAAAGTCACATGACGAAACGCGTCAAAGAGGGTAGATTCTTTTTTTAAACTGTTCCTGAGCTGCCTGTGGCGGCCGGACTTTTTATACTGCCTGTGTAAGTTACTATTTTTAATAAATTTGTACACTTTTAATTACTACACCATGAGGGCTTTCTCCTTCTTTTATTCCTAAAATATCGTGTGACCACGGCGAGAAGTTTCGCCGACACCATATCTGAGAAAATCCATCATTGCGCTTCTGGGACACAGTCAGCGCTGCAAGGGAGAAGACAAAACACTCACCCTGCTGGGTCTCAGAGCAGAAACAACCGGGTCCAAAATAAAGCGTGACCGTAAGCCTAAGTGCCACTAATCAAAAGCCTTCTACTAACTCCATTTGGTGAGTACCCATCTAAGAGGGGTTGTCGGACTACCACTGAAATACACCATCAAATTTTTTTTCCTGTATACGTTTCCTATGGCTTTTTAAATTACCTTCCACTGAACACTGTGCTCCGGTGATTTGATTTTTTTATTGTAAGGGTGCTTTTTGTGCATCACCTGCATATTGGTACATATTGGCTAAAGACTTTTGATAGGTCATCACGTTTTTTTCTACATAATTTGATTGATGATTTAATGCAACAATTTATTACTTTTGATTAACATTTGTTACCATCACTAGTTAATAGACCTTCACATATCGATTATTTTTGTTGTTGTTTCAACGTTGGTCTGGTTTTCCAGTTTCTTTGACACAATTGAGTTATTCAGTTCCCCCTTTTTTTCAATATTTCATGCAGGATTTCTTTTGATTTGTTTAGTCATTATTGGGTTTAGGCCAAATCACTTAACCCTTCATTTTACTTGATTATTATAGTCTCACTTGTGTACTTGGTTGTACCGAGTCCTATACAACCTATACCTTTAGCGCTTTGATATTCCCTTTTTGATCACTTAAAGGATTCCATCCTTTTTTCACAGCTGCTTTAGGTTTTAATTATTAATATATATTCATCTTAGCCATTTTCCAGAAGCGCAGATTATTTATTTTACATTAGACTCATTAACCACTTGAAGACCAGGTGTTTACATCCCCTTCCTGGCCAGGTTATTTTTCAGTATTCAGCGCTGCGGTTTATTAAGCCATGCAACACTGTCCTGAATTTTAGATCATTTTTTTGGGACAGATGGAGCTTTCTTTTGGTGGTATTTAATCACCACTGAGGTTTTTATTTTTTACTATACAATGAAAAAAGTATCGAACATTTCGGGGAAAAAACAAAAACAGTTTTAACTATGTTAAAAAAACATAAATTTTTACCCCAAATTTTTGGTAAAATATAAAAGTTGGGGTCACGTCGGGTAAATAGACACCAAACCTGTCAAGCTTTAAAACGGCGTGCGCCGGCGAAAAAATACCATACCCGAAATTGGTCATAGGCGACACTTTAAAAACTTTTACCGCTCATCAGTTTAGCGTTAATAACGGATGGCCCTAGAACTACTGCCATTCATATGAATAAGCCATTTGGTGAAACATGTTAAGAGTTGGAGAAGCCTGTGTTTACAGCATGTTTTGAGTTTAGGAATAAACAGTCGAGCTTGTGATATCAGTGCTTTGTTCAGCAATTGTTTCTGTGAAAAGCCATTAGCCAGACACAATCCTTTTTTACTCCCATCATGTTCCAGTTTTACTAGGATGCCTTCAAACTCCATTCAGTAAAGCAGAAGAGGAAGAAGCTGGGGGGTGGGGTGTCATAGATCAGGTTGAACTGATCCCACAAAGTCAACAGGGCATCCACTACTATGACTAGTGGGTGCCCTTGACAAACCTACTCCTTTTTGACTGCCACCAAAAAAAAAACACCTTCAGACACACAGTCCGCAAAGGAAATTCCCTCATGTCTTTAAAGGGAGCATCTTGCAAAACCTAAAGCACCAAATGTTGGTCGAACCACGTCTACGTACCAAGAACTCCAAGGCTATCGCTGAGCCACTAGAATGACTGGAATCCCCTTGGCTTCTATCCTGCTAAGTAGACGTGGCAGAAACTGTACCTGCACGAAGGCATAGATCAGCGCATACCGGTCCAATGGAGACACTAGAGCATCCATCGCATCCACCAACAAATCTCTGGATCTGGCTATAAAGCAATCCACCTTCCTGTTGAGACGAGACGTCAAGAGATCCCTGTCTGCAATCCCCCAACAATGACAAATCAGATTCAACACCTCTGGATGAAGCAATCACTCACCCAGATTTAAAGACTGGCAACTGAGTTAATCGGCTTGCCAGTTGTCAACCCTGGGAATGTACACTGTGGACCGAGCAGGAACGTGCCTTTCTGCGCAGGAAAGGATGTTGGGCACTTCCCTCGACGCAGCCACACTTCTTGTTCCTCCTTGATTGATGTAAGCCATGGCATTGTCCAACTGGACCCCAACGACGATTGGTCCAATGCAGAAGAGACAACCGGATCACTCGAAATTCTAACATTTATCAGGAGACCCGATTCCTCAGATAACCACTGACCCCTCTGCAACCCAGAACACCTCCTCACCTGAGAAGACTGGCATCCATCGTTATGACCGCCCAGTGCAATGGTAGGAAGGACTTCTGGTCAGAAGAGCTGGAGAATGAAGCCACCAAAGAAGAGAGGCCTGTGTTGTCCAACTTACACAAATTTCCCTGTTCAGCAAAAGTAGGGACTTGTCCCACTGCAACAATGTCCCTCTGCAGAACCCTGGTATGGTATGTTGTGCATAAGGAACCACTTCAAAAGGAGGCCACCATTAGGCCCAGAACCTGAATGGCTGGGGAATGACCGCTGAGAAACCGGGAGTGACAAAATCATCATCACTTCTGGGTTCATTCAGCAGGGAGATCAGTGAACAGATGTTCGCTGGTCTCTCTTCCTTCTCTCTGCCAACACACTGGCAATGCCGGTTCTGGGTGGGGCAGAGGGGTCTGGTAAACACAGCATGGGGTATCGGGCTATACACATGTAAACGGACTTGCTTACAGAGGCCGCTGCCACCGACATGTGGCATATTTTAATTCTGTATAGAGAGGGGAAGGATTAGAACAGCTGTCAGGTTTTTACTGTTGTCTATGTGCCTGTTAAAGAGATTCACCCTCTCTATTTGTCCTGGTCACTGTTATGACTTAAAGTCAAAGATAAATCACAAATTGTGGGTTGTCACCAGAGCAGGAATATATGGGTAATCTTCCAATTAGGACACTAATTCTGGTGGTGCTGCTAACCACCAGGAATGTCCCTCTCTTTGGAGGGATTTGCTTCTATTTCCTGTTGTGCTCATCAGAGAGGACGCAAGAGAAATCTCTCCAATGGGACACAGATTTTAAAACAACAAAAAAAACTGACAGGGGCTATAACCCTCCCTTAGGCCCCTTTTCACACGGGCTGATTAGGAGAAGAGCCATGCACGGATCCTCTCCTGATCACAGCAGTACAGAGCGGATGTCACCACTGTGACATCCGTGCATATACAGTTTCTTCCTCCATCTTGCGATGGAAGAAAAAACTGCATTTACCGGAACCCAGGTCAGTCTATGGGGAATCGGATGTAAACAGAGGTGTCCGTTTACATCAGATTACCCCCGAATCTGGCACGACGAACACTGTTCTGTTTGTTTTTCTGTACCTGGCTGGAGGCGGGGGTAATCGGGGTATAAAACGGACACACGGCTGCCCACAGACTTGCATTGGGCATCCGGTTGAGTCTGCCTGTAAAACTGACAGGCAGACCTGATCAGAGGGACCGGTTGAAAGGGGCCTTACACTTTCCAAACAAAAAAAAAAAGTTTTGGCCTCAGTTTCTACTATAATAAAACTCGATGGAGGAATCTTTAGTAGGAAATACAGAGAAAAAAAAAAAGAAGGATGCACTTCTCTCAGAGCAGAAAGAAGGAATCCATCACCTAAGGACACTAGTGAAAAACTAATGCAGGCTTGGTGTTGCAGTAAGGACTCTCCTAACAGCCTTGATTTGCCACTCTCCAATCCCCTGAGGGTAGCTGCATAACCTGGGCCAGATTAAGAGCACCATGGGCATGGTGCTGGCTGAGGATTTTGGTGGGCCTTTTTAGGGAAATACATAAAAAGAAAACATTTTATTTACCATTAAAGTGCATTAACCAAATGTTGGATATCCTAAACACACAGAATAAACAGGCTTTTTCACTGAACCCCAAATTACCTAAATGAGGCAAACTGGTAGATGAAAATTAAACTACACATTCTCTTATCGTGTTTTTTGCTTGCAAATTTGTCAATTGTAGAATCGACCAATTATACTGCAAACACATTTTCTATATAATATATAGAAAACATCATGTGACACGGAACATTCTGCTGAGTTCTGTGACATCTGTTGTGGCTGCTGATTGGTTGAAGGGGGCAAAAATCCTGTGTAATAAAATTAGTTAGGAGGCCTTACACTGAATGGAGGTATTCTCACTGACCAGAATCCCCTCTGCTCCCACATCTCTGCAATTCTGCTGTGTCTGCATACAATCGTCCCTCTTGTGCATCTCACCTTCTGGATGGCAGCCGGTGTGATTTCCCCCTTCTCACACTCCCACAGGATATTCTTTTTATTGTTTGCACGTTATGACAGATACTTCACACAATTGATGGGAGACCAACATAACCCCTTAAAGAAATGCTGACATTGTCAAAACTAAACCCAGGCAGGATTACTTGCTTTGTCTGCTCATAGTCAGATTGTGAAAGGGTTATGAATAATGATCCAACCTGCATTGCTCTACTAGACCACAAATGCATTGCAGTTGCTGTACATCAATAGTACACCCAATCTTCTTCCCCAAATAGGACAGACCCTGATCACTGACATGTTACAACAGAGATACCACATAGATAAAGCAGGCACTGGATGAAGAACAGCTAAGTGAAATAGCATTCATGCGAGGAGACTGCCAGAATCCCGGACTGTGCCAACTTCTATAATTGCGCATCATAATTTTCATATAAAATTGACCGTATAATTTACATATGAATGAAGAATGAGTTGTGGCTCATTCCCATGTAGATACATCGATCCATTCATATATTTTTTCAGTGGTGGGCCTGGAGCTGGTGATCTAAACGCCCCTAGGTTAATCCGGCCCTGTGCATAACCCATCCATTTAAGATTTAACTCCACCCATCCATTTAAGATTTAACTCCCTGCGTCCTGTGATGTGAGATAAAGAAAAAAACATTATTTGCTGCACGCATTTTTATGCAGCCAAATATTTAACAAAAATGTTTTACCTTCTCCCCAATTTCGGTTCGGTCTCCAGATGGCAAGATCTCTAGATCTGGTAGCAGAGCACATGCTTCTATAACTTTCTTGTACAATGGTTCCTTGCGTTCTCTTCCAAACAGGATGTTTTCTTTAAGAGAGGTATTCTGAATCCACGCTTGTTGAGGAACGTAGGCAACACAACCCTGATAAAGGAAGAATTTTAAAGCTGAATCACCAAATAAGCAAAATTTCAATATTATGTAGATAATATAGATCTGAATTATCCATCAGTTTTTAATATCTGAATTATCCATCAGTTTTTAATATTCTTCAAACTGGTTGGCTATCTCTGCACCTGAACCCCAAGTTATGCAGGCAGATTAACCCAGGGTAGAAAATGACAAAGAAAACCTGTCCTACACTCTAATCTGAAACTAAACATTTTGTCTAAGAGCAAGTAACTGCTATTATCTCGTTCTCTCTTTTAGCCACTGCATGCCCAGAGAACAAACACAACAGATGAACACACAATTAGAGCACATGCAACACAAGAAACATTACAGACGATACAAAGCACATAGAGCACACACCGAGTACAAAGTCTAACAACACACACAGCACACAAGGCATGCACAGTAAGTGCACAGATAATTTGCAATACCACTTATAAATGAGGTGGTAAGTGTTCTCACATAAGCATGGCACAGTTACCATTTGTACATTTAGTATAGTACTGACATTTTTTTTTGCATTTTGCATATAATGTAGTGATGTTGCTGCTTTTCATTTCACACCCAATATTAGGTGTGTATCAGTATGAACTAATTTGGCATAACTGTATTGCTTAATGGTGACATCCATCGCATTTTAAGCAATAAAAGCTTCAGGAGAAAATGGCGTGGCATTTTTACAAGAGTGGAAACGTACAGGGATGACTTAACCAGTGACTGTTTAATGGTCAAAAACAGTCCAAACAGTAGGCTGGAGGCAAGTAGGTGATAAAGCAAGCTAGGGTTTTGAATGGTGATTTCACAAGCTTGCTATTTAGTGTGTTGAGGTTGCTTGAATTATAAAAGTAGCAAAATACTGTACCAGTTGCAGCAGTGTACATATACAGTATGCAACTGAATTGTAAATGAACCCGTCGGGAATTCTACTTTGATTACAATTTTAAATTTAAAGTATAATGAATGACTATCTTTTCATAATACAAAAATATTGATAGCAATGTTTTCATGTTTAATAAAAGATAAGCAAAAATGGAAAATATTTGCCCTTGTGCTGATGACAGAAATGAAAAGACTATATCTACTGTATGCTACCATACCTTTACTGCTACATATCCATCCTTCTTTTCCATCTCTCCCAGTAACGCTGATAGCAAAGAAGACTTTCCACAGCCTACTTGGCCAACCACTGCAATCAGGGAGCCGTCTGGAATTGTAAGGTTTATCCTGGAGAAAAAATATATACGATTTACGGTTTCACCTTTTAAAAGAAAAAAAATACATAAAAAACGCTATTTGCATAGTTAAATTTGTAATGTGGAAACTGTAAAATACTAAAAAAAAAAAAGAATCTAGGTAAAATTTGCCTCTGATGTCAAGATCCATTTCAGATATACACCTTATCAGTGTTTTTATACAGAAGTAGCCAGATAGACTCTGAGATTGATTTACAAAAGGAGTTGAGAATTTTTGCTCAAATTGAGTGCATATTCCTTTATCTAATCATGTAAAAAGCTAATTTCTATTTAACAATGTAATTCACACATAACTGGGTATTCAAAGTGAGCTATGTTCTCAATGGGGTTGATTTACTAAAGCAATAGAGACAGTTCACTTTGCAAAGTGGATGCCTACTTATCTTATTAAATAAGCTGAAGCGGTGTTTACTTTGAATACCCAATTATTTGTAAGAGGAAAAAAAAAAGGATTTTGGCCTACATGTAATTGGATGATTTAACACTTATTCACTAAGCTTTGTGAATATAGACTTTTTGAAGTGAACATTTACATTTAAAAACCAGTGTGGGCGAGTTTATACTTGCTCTGGAGTACCTTACCAAGCTACAGTGATTATAGCAAGCATGAAGTGTTTGTAAAGGAATTGTGGGCAAGGACAGAAAAAAATTTAAATTAGGCCTATGTGATATCCCTCACAGACTTTTGGACATGTTTTCTTTATCGTGCATGGAAACATCATGCCAACATTTATTTTGGGCCATGAAATATCTGGGGTCCCTAATAAACTGCTCTCTTCTGTGATAGACTATAACTTCAATAAAAATTAGCTAACTAAACATGAGATTGTAGTCCATCCCGGGAGCGAGCTTGGTGCAGTAGCTAATTTATCACCCACACAAGGAAACATGGTGAACAAACGTAGCCACCCTCCAATAAGGAAGGACAGTTTCAGCATGAATTCAAAGCCGATTTAAGGATTTACAGATAAGTGATGCACAAATAAGCTAAATTTTTGTTAATAGTTAAGGTACTTGAATGCATTTTTAAGATTTAACTCCTGAGTTTAGTGGTAGTTTAACTATGTCCGTGGGCTAAACTCCGTACTTTAAACACAGCAATGCATTTTCTATTTTTTTATTTATTTTGTTTTATTAGTTTTCAAAAGTAAGTACACGTATCACGTCACTTTTACATGGCACTACATATCAAATTCAGGCAATTGGTAGCAGTAACATAAAGGCTAGGTACCATGTAAAACACATACACAGCAAACCTCACACAGCTCAGAACCTCACTAACACTGTTACTTAAAGTCAAAAGGTTTTTAAGCTATTTCAAATGCTGATTAAATCACGTACCATGGCTTCTGCTTGTTGGTGTTTAAAAATTTTAGCTTCATGCACAATCAGCTGATCCCCTGAGGATGGCCCTGACATCCTGTTATAGGGCATCTCCTTTCCCTTATAGGGTCCTATGGAAACCCCTTTGTTTGTGCTACTAAACTGTGGATGTCTCCATGAACGCACAGGCACAGCAAGGCAAGCCCATACCCTGCTCCCACTTCTTCTTCCTCCAAGCTAGCAGATAAGACAGCTGACCCTTATAATCTTGTCTGGACAGAAAGTGTACAGAAGCAAAGCAAAAAGAGAGTTGGAGCCAGCTGTTGTAAAACATGACTAAGTGCTAGGTTTGTTTGAACTGGATTCATTATGAAAAAAAAATGGTTGAGAATTTAATAATACTTTAAATACAAGCTCCTGGCAGCAGCAAACATCAGCTACAGGTGAAGGTATACAAATGACAATGCACAAATATCAACTGACTGCACATATACCAATTTTATCCTTGTGTTAAACTGAGCACAGAAATGCACTTTACACATAATAGTAAAAAAGATTTGATGTGAGCATGTAGTCCACGTTCAAGATAACTCAGAGTTGGTATATGAGGACAAAGAGGCAAGGAAAAGGAAAATCTATTAAATACTTAAGATACAAATTAATCTGCGCTCCTACCACTAAAACACTAAAAAGCCGCTGTGCTAAAAGTGAAGTAACACCTTTAAAACTCTATAAACAAAAACTGCACTGTGCTTTACAAAAAGAAAAAAAATGGATATTAAAAAAATTAATATGTGAATAAATCATGAATTTGAACCAATATTTACATAATTCATGTGTTATTTATCTCCATTACATGAAAGATAAAATACATTCAAATTATCCAATATAAAAGTTCATAAATATATTTACCAGTAAAGGTGATCCAAACCTCAAACGTGTTCCACATTAAAGTTTTTAAAAAATACAGCTTACTCCAACTGATTCAAAAGTTCAATCATATATTTCCAATAAAGTGTCACAGAAAGAGCCAAACAAGTCACAATCAACATTCATTCCCCTCCACGAATACCATTAGTGCAGACCACTTTACCAGAGTGAATAGACCATGACACCATAGACATGTATGGAATGACAGAGCAGATAACAGAGCGCCCTGTTGCGAGTTGGGTTTTCTTATGATAAATAATTGGGAAGTATTGTTTAACATGCTGGTGGAGCACTGTGGAATATCTAGATTAACCATAATGAGTTATAGTTACATAGTTAGTCAGGTTGAAAAAAAGACACATGTCCATCGAGAATGAACATTAATTCTGATCTGTTCGGCTCTTTGAGACACTTTATTGGAAATATACAGTATGATTGAACTTTTGAATCACTTGGAGCACGTATTTTGGAATCACTTTAATGTGCAACCCATTTGAGATTTGGGGAACATTTTTGAGAAATGTATTTATGAACTTTTATATGTAATAATTTGAATGTAATTTGGGATAAATAACATATGGATTATGTACATTATTGTTACAATTAATATTTATTCACATATTCATTTTTTAATATCTATTCTTTTTTCTTTTTGTAAAACGCAGTGCAGCTTGTTTATAAATCTGTTAAATACCGTCTTCAGCTCACTGTATAAATAGGAAATGGAAAACTTAAGTCTATGTTGGGGATGGTGGTGCCACAGCCCCACATAAACCACAATGGCTCCAAACTGATATGGTCCAGAAACAGACAAAACTGTGGTGAATAAAGCATCTGGAACAGATGGCTTTCACCCACATATCCTCAAAGAACTGAGCTCTGTTATGTTAAAGACATTAAGAGGAATTTATCAAGACTGGAGCAGACAAAATCTGGAGGAGCTGTGTATGGCAACCAATCAGCTTCTCTCTTTCATTTTCAAATCTTAACTGAACAAACTGAAGAGAGAAGATGATTGGTTGCCATGCACATCTGCTCCAGATTTTGCCTGCTCCAGTATTGATAAATTCCCCCCATTGTTTCTAATTTTTAAAGACTCTTCAATGACTGCCATGTGCCAATGGATTTGCACAAGGCCAATTTGGTACCTATATTGAAAGCCCATTTCCACTGTTGTAGAGGCATTTTTTTAAATGCCTGCAATGTACATCAAGTGCACATGAAGCAGGCATATGCGGTTGCTGTATATGAACACAGAAAGGTATGTTTTTTGTTTTTTTTTTAGCTTCATATCCTCATGGAAATGGCTGCCTCTGCCCTTTGTAAATTACAACTGAGTTTTCTGTGAGTTCTCCACTCCCCCATTCAATAGTATTCATAGTGGCAACCACCCCAGCAGCGTATTTTGTGTTAAGTCAGAGCTGGTGTTTAGTGATCCTGTTAAACAGAATCACAGGGAGGGGGGCAGCTGTTTACAGCCTGCTTTACAATCCGACCCCAGTGTCAGACTGAACTTCCTGTGGAGAAAAATTTGAATTTCTAGGATTCAGGCCTAAACAAACATTCATTAAAAAAAATGAAGAAAGCATGCAATGTGAGTCATGAAAATGTGCACACTTACAACAGGTGGAAATGGACTTTAAAAAGGAACAAAGTCTTTACTAAGTAACTACAGACCTGTAAGTGTAACTTCTAAAGCAAGAAAGATACTTGAGAATTTGATAAATTTGTTACCCACAAATGAATAGGAAAGGGTCTGTAAATGGATAGAAAACTGGTTTAAAGACTGTATTCAGAGTATTCATTAATGATTCATATTTAAACTGTCTAAAACTGCTAGAAGTGCACCCAGGGTTCAGTTTTTTGACCCTTAGTTATTAACCCATTTATAAATTATATAGATTTGGGGAATTTGCAAGCTATGTAGTGGAATAACATCTATACAAGAGCAGACTTGAATGCACTGCTTGCTTGGCCAACCATATGGCAAATGAGGTTTAATGTCAATAAATGTAAAGTTACATAAAGTTAGAGAGAGAGAGAGGGGGAGGAAGAGAGAGAGAGAATATCTTGCCCTGGTATAAACATAAGACCACATCTAGAATATGCACATCAGTTCACAAAAAGGATGTTGCAGAACTGGAGAGAGTGCAGGGAAGGGCAACTAAACGAATGTGAGGCATGGAGGACCTCGGCTATTAGAAAATAATAGCTGAACTGAAATTGTTCTCTTTTGAGAAGAAGTGATTAAGGGGGAAAAACTATAATCATGTATAAATACATAAACTTTCTATATAGTGAACTTGGTGCAAAGGTATTCACTTTACGGTCAAAACCTGGGTGAAGTGCCTAGTAAACAGATTGTGCTTGATCATCTCTGTATATGTGCACACTGTTTGCACCAACAAAGGGTTAAATACCTCAAGGATTGTGTACTGCATTACAGAGAAAAAAAACAATAAAAATCGCAAAAATGCACCTTGCCTGTGTAGGATCCTAGCACCGGCCCTGCATTCACATATAGCGTTTGCGTTTCCTGGGAGGTTTTCCATGTGGAAGACTGCACGGAACGAAAACGCTAAGATTTTTAATCTGCACGGATTCCGCTCATTTGCGGCTCTTATCGCGCTTGTACTATTTTGCAGGCTGCACGGTTTCTTAAGAAAATAATGAAGAAAAAAATGTGGGCTGGCCTACACATTTACCAGTGTCCAATCCTTTTTTAGGCAGCAGCATAACCTGATGGTGAAGAAAAATACCACTACAAATTTACCCTGGCTTGCCTCCATGTCTATTTAATTACATCTATGCTAGGTTTTCTATCTAAAAAGCACAGCAGTGCTTGCATGCCTTCAGGCATTCATGGTAAGCACTGGCAAACCAGCTAGGTCTATCTGACATAAACACTTTGTATTTTGCATAACGCATGCTTTGATGTGTGTTATGTACACCCACATGCATTTCCATTGAGGTCAACAGAAACCCATGTGCATTAAAACTGACAAGTGTGAATGAGAATGAGGGAAAAGCTGCTTTAACAAGCGGGTTTCCTTTTTTTTTATGAGTATGTAGTTACATGTTTTTCATTTATTATGGTCAGGACTAAATATTTTGCATTTTTTAACAGGTGGTGCAATCTACTCTTTTATGCTGTCCCATGTTATTTACAGCTTATTGAATAGAAGCTTGTTTACACCCCCAATAGGCGCTAGATAAAATTTACATACACCTAAATGGCTCATCAGAGATGCATCTCTTAGCTGGGGGCTCAGCTGGAAGTTCCAATCAGACAAGGCCTGCCTGAGGTAAGTGTCAAAAATAAAATTACAAAATTCTATTGCCTTACATTATAAATTATTTTTCATACATTGTCCCTAAACCCATCAACGCACATTATGCAAGGGACACCAACATATGCACAGGAGTATTACTACCTAAACCATGCAGTTTCCCCATTTCTGTGAACACTCACAAAATAAGAACTGTTGGCAGAATCTGAGGACAGGTTTAGGAACTCTGTTTTACTAAATACTGTAACATTCTAAAAAGAGATTGTAACTTGTTGGCGGCAAATTAGAGATTTATTAAAAACATAACTCAAGCCCTTTTATTAACATCTAAATATGCTCTATGGACTTGATGCATCAAACGTTTAGCATTTTAGCAATAGCATTAGGAAATAGAGTAATTGCTTGATGACACCTACTTTATCAGTATAAAAAAATCAGGGCAGGTCTGAATGCGATACATCAAACCAATATATTTTAAAAGCAGTGCACAGCAAGCGCATAATGCGTACAACAACAAAACGTGTAAAAAAAAAAGAAAGAAAAAAACTTACTCTTTCAGTAAAGGGGGATCACTTTTGGACCAGGAGAATGTGGCATTTTGCATATCAATACATCCATGACCTAAAATGAATACAGTAACAAATGGTAACTGAATCCTGGATCCTAGCCATGCATTGCCACAGTGCAAGCTGCTAAGCGATTAAACTCCTGAATTCATATGTAACTGCTATTGTTTAAGCAATGAAACACAGTGATGTGAATAATGTGATTTACTATCTACCCTAGTGTGGATCAATTTTGTTGAGTAGCGGCAAAGATAAAATAATACTCACAAGAGTAGATCACAAAGGAGCTTTTCAAATTCCAGGGATTGGTGAACCAGGAAAGGATGGATGAGAGCTGCACAGACAACACTATGTGACAGCTCAAATTGCCTACATGACGCGTTTCCGGGGTCACGCCCCGTCAATCAGAACGTGATTGATTTTATTAGAGATAACACATAATTCTTCTGATGTATGAGAAGGATAAACGTTTCCCAGACAGAAAGTAGCCCAGCGACTAGAGGTCTTCTATCCCCTGCTGTGAATTGCAGCTAAAAAGTCCACAGATGTCCACTCTGCCCAAGAACCTAGAAGCTGTCTATTCAAATTCTAACGGTGGACATCTGTCTCTTCTGTGTACTGATTATGAAGTTATAAAATATCCTGTGATATTGATTCCCCTCTATACTTTGATACCACACTTTTTGCTGTAATGGTTTTTGATGGCTGTTGTGGATGCTAAACATTTAATTGTATTTATGCTAGGTCGATTGTATTTAGGTCGATGAGGAGTGACACTCCAGGCTGCTTCTGAACTATTAGTGGATCGTGAGCTGGAGAGAGCTGATGCACCGGGACTGCTCCCCTTGTGCTTGAGATCCAATATGTTGACTGCTTAACAGACACAACTTAATTGGGAACACCAGGTAAAAACCATTTGTACTCACAAACCAGGTGCTAAATGCAAAAGAGGCTCAAATGGACAGAGGTGACCAAGTCACTGTAGAAGGCAGCAAGACTGGGGTGGAACTGCATGTCTCCTGCAAAAAATGAATGGGGGGGAGCAGGGGAGATGCTACCTAATGCTGAAAAGCCAGGAACAGAGAGCAGAGTGTGAACACTTGTGACGATCCAGCTAATGATGCGGCAAACCGTGCCTTAAAAGAGAACTATGGGATAACCTTTTTATCCCATAGTTGTCTTCAGGGTCACGGGAGGACATATTCTAACATCATCCCGTGACCCAAAGCTCAGTATATAGCTGTCGAGATCCACCCAGCTTGGTGAGTGACAGCGTGCTCTGCCTATCTAGAGGCAGAGCCAGCTGTGCCCGCTCCCCCATCCGTGCCTCCACTCAGCGCTGGAGGATCGGAGTGTGGGAATCCCTACGGGGACCGGTGACTGACAGTCACCACTCTCTGCAGGGAGATGATCGGAAAGTCAGCGAGCGACGGTATGTGTTCGCTCACTTCCCGATCTATAGAGCTGACCTGTGACAGTTTAATTGTCACAGGTCGGCTCGAACTATGAGGTTGAGTGAAAATCACTCACCTCATAGTTCTCCTTTAACCCTTCTCATGGAAACCAAGAGAAAAAGGGGTAATAATGATGCTCAACGGTGCCAATAAATATAGCAGCCCCCAATGCTCAGCCCATGCGGCCTATTCATGAAGAGTCTTTAGATCACACCAGAGGCTGTGCCAGGGCTCTAGGCCTGGAAAGCGCTCTGTGGCTAACACACATATTACAAAGAGGTCTGGAAAGCAGCACAAGCAGAGTCCAATGCCTGAAGGTCACATTCAAGGCAGAGCAAAACTGGCAGAGCTAGCCAAAGTTTTGTGTTTGCCAGTGTCCAAATCCACCTGTAGGCAACAGTATAAACCAATTAACTCAATCCGGTGCCCCGTAATGATTAAAAAAAAACTTAATGATGTGTTATTGCTGTCAGTACTAACTCTTCCTCCCTTTTACTAAAAACCTAAAGTTTTTGTCTGTTTTCTTGCTGAAGAGATTTCAAACCTTTTACTGTCAGGGTGGTACATCTCCATAATGGGGACACAGATGGAGATAATAACCTAAAAGACTGTTAGCCTTTCCTGGTCAATGCAAAACAAAATAAAAGTTTTGCCTGAAGTTGGACTTTCACAACTGTTCAAGTTCATGGAACAAAATCTCTATCAGTGCAAATAAGACACACTTACTATTTTTCTGAGGATGTCTCATTATGCTGTCCGGTTCAAGCTCCTCGTGAGATAAGAAAACTCTCAGACGTTTTAATGACACACTTGTCTGCGAAAATATGTGTATCACACAAGCAAAAATGTTACATTTATTGAAAAATAAACACACACCAAAACTCCACTGCCAAATAAAAGTAGTATACAAGATTACGGAAGTTGCATTACCAATTAAAGGGATAGGTAAAACACATGAAAAATACTTTAAAAAGGTCAGTCTTCCCAAAAACCCACTTCATTTCTCATGGCAAGTGCCTAGGTCCCACCAGCCATTTTGATACATCTTTTTGGAATTCCACTACTGACTAAAGTTTCTGCAATGCATTCTTAGTTTTGCTGCCGATACTTTTATTTAATATTATGGACAAAAACATTGTGAGCAAAGTGGGTATCTAAATACCATAGCCAAAGCTATGTTTTGTAACAGAATTGCACCCTTTAAGGATGTCTTATTGCACACAATTATCAATGTCATTCCTTTTGCTATCCTATGTGGCAGTACAAATACACAGATGTGCAAAATCTTTATTAGTCTCTCTCTCCCAAGCCCATCCTTAATCATAATCCTTCTGTTCCGGGTAGTATGAATTTATTAGTTTTAACGTTAAAGCAAAAAGGATGGTATGGGTCACTTTGATGGAAAATGTGCTACAACTGCTACACTGTTCATTCTGCACCAGACAGAAACTGAATATTTATTTTCTAACACATGGAAGAGAGATAAGTTGAAAGTGGGCACTGTTATTTTTTAAATCTGGTGCAGCTGTGCATAGCTCAACCCACGCTGCCACATCACCCATTCAGAGATCCTTGGACAGGATCTGTGAATGAAGAAACTACAAGTTCCATCTGCCGTCAGGGCAGAAAGACCTGTAGTTCTCAATGGAATACAAGTGCGGTAACATCACCCAACTTCCCTCCCATCCATGTTACTGCCACCGTACCTTGGTATATACAGGGACTGGAGGAAAAGTCTGCAGGAGTCAGAGCATTGCAAATGTGATCACAGGTTGCAATGCTTTACTGGCTCAAATGCAAAAAAATAATGAGCGTACATTTTTTTCTTTTATGAATATGTGTGGATTTTATTTTGGAAAAGGTGGACCTTACCTTAACGCGAGTTACGTTTAGGCAGCCCATTCATTTGAAAGGCTCCCTAAAGCACCACAACACATCTAAAATTGAGCCTGCAACAACTGTGATAGTGAGTACCCATCACAGGCCCAATGCTAGCACTTAAGGGCTTGTTAGTCCCCTTGTGACAGCAAAAGAATTTTAAAAACAATAAGAAATTAACATATAAAAAATAAAAATTAAAGCATTTCTGTTGCCCTGCGCAGACACATAAGAACACAAATACACTTGTAGGGTTTGAGCATCAATTGCACAACACATATTGAGTATTGCCACATATGCTGGACTGATAAAAATAATTCTAGGTGCCTCATTTACAGTTAATATAAACTGATGAGCTGTAAAAGCAATTACAGCATCACATATTGTATATAACAAATGGAGTAAATAGTCCCAAATTTATGTATAAGGTATAGACACCTGTAAATCTGTCTGAAGCAGAACTAATGCAATCAAAATGAAAATATCTACTAGTAAATCAGTCATTTTACGTAATAGGAAAATCCTTTACCTGGAGTACATTACAGGAGAGTCAGAGACTAACGGTTATGCAGCTAACCAGTTTTGCAGCAAGCAATAGTCAGAGTGGGCCAGTACAGAGGGGTGGCACCTGAGGCCTGAACATCCCCCTGGTTAATCTTGGAAAAAGTGTCAATTAAAGACCAGGTGGCAGCCGTTCAAATCTGACAAACAGATTGCCTGATGCGCAAAAGCCTTAAGGTGCCCATACACTATTATCGTACGAGAATCGCAGGAAATCCCGCGATCATGCGCTAATCACAAATTGTATGGAAGGCGTGCAACCGTTTTCTACTGACAACTGCCGAACGGGCCGGTGTGTGCACGTGCACACTGCCTGTTTGCAGTCATCGGAAGCCCGCCTATCATTGCAGTCATCGGAAAACCGCCCCTCAGGGGGGCGGGCTTGCGATTATAGCAAGTACGATCTGCCTGTCCAAGATGGGCAGATCGTACGTTTTTTATAATCACTTTACAACCCTCGCAAGACAGAAGTCTTGCGAGGGTTGTAAAGTGTATGGCCACCTTAAGACACACTGACTGATGTGACAAACTGTACACAAACTGGAAAGGGGGGAACCCTGTTCTTAAATTGATAGGCTTGAGTTATGAGCTGTCGGATCTCCAGAGAAATTGCGGAAAGCAAGGCAGCTTGTAAGAGCTTCTAAAGAGCAGACAGAACCAGGTTGATAGCCCACGGGGAAACAGGTCAAATATGGGGGAACCGTGTGAGCAACCCCCTGAACAAAGGTCTACTTGTCTCACGCTGTCAGCATATTGCGCTGCAACTGTCTGGAGAGGAACTGGGCATGGGGGACTGCCTCGAAGTCAGACACCAATAAGCCCAGCACAGTCATCTAAAAGCAAATGGAGGGGCAGCTCTGGGACTGCAGAGTCTAAACATGGGAAAGGAGATTTCAAAACTTTTTTCCAAGGGATAAAGACTCTGGACTGGGCAATATCCAACAGGAAACCCAGATTTTCCAAGCTGTGAGTTGGCTCCAGCATCAACTTCTGGAAGTTCCAGCACTGACTTCTAAAAATTCAGGAACCACCTGTACCTCCGTATTGTTTGAACCATTTGTTGGAAGTTGGCTGACAGGATCTGTTCCAACCATTCCCAAAATGTGATGCCATGTGAACTAAGCAAGGCAGACACAGAGGTTAAGGCTTTCGTGAAAATTCAAGGCGCCTTGGGTTTCCAAAAGTGAAAGGTCATGAACTGGTAAAGCTATACGCCCATCGCGAAACGCAGAAAATGATGGTGAACCTGGTAAAATGAGAACATGTATGTAGGCATCCTTAATGCCCATGGATGCAAGAAACACCCTGTGTGGAAGAAAGCTACAACCGACCTTACAGATTTCATGCAAAATTGTTGCACCTTTAAAATGGTATTGGGTTTTAAATCCAACCCAAATAAATTGAAAATGGGGAAAAAACCCCCATTGGGCTTCAGAATTAAAGAGGTTCAGGTAGAACCCTTGATATATTTTCCTGTTCTGGACTGAAGCCATCATACCCTGAGACTTCTGGAAGTTCAGAGACAAGGCCCGGTTGGCAAGTTTTTGTGAAGAGGACAGGAGTTTGGATGACATGAGGTGGAAAGGAGGCAGAGTCAGAAAATCTAGCTTGTACCTCCTGAAAGCAATACTTTAAACCCAGGTGTTGGAAAGGGCCTGAGACCAGGTGACCACAAAAACCTAATTGCAAGGAGAGCTTGCTCCCAGGTCTAGTGGGATTGGCTGGCCAACACCAGTGGCGGAAAAGAGTTTCTGCTTTTGCCTTAGATCAGGGGTATGCAGACTCTAAAAGGTTGTAAAAGGTACCCACATGCCAAGCTTTTTTTTTTTACTACATATTTAAACAGTTAAAAAAAAACCTTTAAAAAATGCATATAAACATTATAATTAATAAAAATGAGTGACTTTTCCACAAAAAAACGTTACTTTGCATTATGGACTCTCATCCATAGTCTCCCCTATTTAACTTTACATTTTAATCCATACATTACAATAGCCACAGCTTCTAATTTTGAACAATTTTAATTACAGTGGAGATATCAAAAGGATGAGTTTTCTGCTCAACGCATTTCATGGGAAAACCGCTTCAGCAGGAGCTCATGAGACCTTGAGCATGTACAGAAAAAAAAATACAGTAAGAGTCTAGTATAATACAACATATACATAATACAATCATGCTGTATGACATTGAAATGGTACAAAAAGTTTCTTCGTGTCCCATTGGGAAAGTGATCAGGTTACGTCCCCAAGGCTGCCTGTCACAGACTTACCCGGCGTGTCCTTGCGCTCCAGCGACGTGTCGTCTCGTCCGTGACGTCACTCCGGCTCCGCCCACGGGGCGCGGCAGCACGGGTAAAAGGTCAGCTGGTTCGTCACTCGGCGTTCTCTCGTTGTGGAGAGTCGAGTGATGAACAGAGAACCTGCAGGCTGTCTTTGGATAGTCTTCCCTGATCCCTGTACTGACACACCATAAGACGGATCGAGACTTCAACCCCGCTGTGAGCGTAGAGCTATACGGAGCAGAACCGCAAGTATCCTGGACTCATTTTCTATCTAGCTGAACCTGCTACTTGTATCGTGCCTGCTTCCATACTGCTTATGTGCGGCTATATCACACGCACACTCACTGTACCGCTCCAGCTGTTCCGGATTGCCTCACATTCCCTTGCCTGCACTTGCTACGTGACACTGGTCTGATACAGTCTGAAACTACAATAGTGACGCAAGAGGGGTTGTCATTGTGCATTCTCTGCTGATAAGTCTGTAGGAACTACAGGCACATGCCTTGTACTGCTTATTGCTGATTGCTATCTGCTTATAGCTGCATATATGTGCTTCGCCATTGCCTATTAACCTGCCGGTTACCTATCCATTGACTCTGCATGCTTGTCATATATTTTGCAGTTCCACGTTTACTAACCATTAACCAGTTGCATCACCTGCTGTTTAACTCGCCATTGATACACTGCCCGCTGGTACCGCATAAGTACAGCTCTCCACCTATGAGTGTGGAGTTAGGTGCAGTACCCTCAAGTCACAATAGCACCACTTAGCTTAGTTATAGGAAGTATATGATGAGTGCGGTCTCCCTCTCGCAGTTACTGTAATTGGGAGTCGCTCACTGAACTTCCTCATCAACTAAAACCCCCACCTATTCCGCAGCTGAGATCCAGTTAGACGTATCACCTGTCCAGCCTTGACACTGCCAATGAAGGAATCCAATGGCGAGTGTAGAGATCCACACCAAGGGAGTGCTCCAATACTCAGTCAGATGTATATATAGAACCAATATTAGTGTAGTCCAACCAGAGAGTAATGGGTAATGAGTAATGACTAGACAAAAGTTACAGCAGGAGTGCCATACATCTGACGTACATTCAGGTCTGATGTACATTTATACTACATACATATTGTCTTGTTTATCTCTTAGATAGTGATGTGTGATTGGGCTGATATTTTGCTTATACCACAGAGCCAATCTTTTGGGACATAAGGTAGGCTTTACCAAGGTAGCATCTTTATACCCTATCTAAGCTTGTTAATAATGTAAGACATATTGGTGTACATACTTTATGACACAAAGTTAAACAGTGTATTTAGAGGTTTGAGCATTTTCTTGATCACTGTCAGCGTGGTCAACATTAATGGAAATAGGATCATTTTATTGATTTGTGCTGATCTTCTAGATCAGTATTATAGGGTTTCTGTGTTAGGATGAAGGACAAGATCTCTGAATGTGGCCCCTTGTGTACACATATCCCATTTGAAAACCTAATTTGTGGGTTCTTGCCAATAAATGTTTCTTATATTAAGTGTTGTAGATGTGGAAACTGAATAATATTTTAAACACATCTCGGATGGGATTTAGCAACCGGATAACACTTCAACCTTCATATCATATGGGCAGGTATGAGAGACTGGCTCATCATAATATATGCCACTCCTGGGGTAACTTTTGTGTAGCCCAGTACACCCTGGTTGGACTAAACTAATATTGGTTCTATTTATAGATCTGGCTGAGGATTGGGGCACTCCCTTGATGTGGGTCTCCACACTTGCCACTGGATTCTTTTATTGGTGGCCCTGGAAATGTGACCTAATGGCTTTCCCAAAAAGACTCTAAGAAAATACAATGGTACATTTTGTACCATTTGAATATCATACAGCAGGATTGTATTGTGTATATGTTGTATTATACTAGACTCTTTCTTACTGTATATTGTTCTTTACATACACAAGGTCTCTTGAACTCCTGATGAAGCGGTTTGTCTGTGAAATGCAGAAAACTCATCCTTTGATATCTCTACTATAGCTCAAATGTTCAAAATTGGAAGCTTGCCCTAAAAAAAAAAACCTTTCAGAGTCTGTATACAATTGAGTTGGATGTGGTACCCCCTATTGATGTAGCCCATTCAAAGAGCAAATTTGGAAATTCTCAGATAAGGGTGCTAAGAGAAATTAAAGGAGCTCTTTTTGGCTCCCGAAGTAGAAGGCTTTTCCAACTGAGGGCTAGCTTTCTTTTGCTGGACACAAAAGAGTTCTATTTCCCTGTGTGTTTTCATAATATGCATTAGAGACAAACATAAATGAAGCATACTTAAAAGCCAATATGTAGATATCTCAAATGTTAATTATTCACTTGATTACTATTTTAAGCCAGTAAGTTTGGCTTGTGTGATAACACCGGCTCTATATTGTCATCAGACTCCAGTTTCTTAAATATGAAAACAGCTTTGTGAATCCGAACAGGCGCTAATTAGAACAAAGTAAATTTGGATAGTGTGGTGCAAGACACAAGAATACAAGTCCCACACTATAGTGAATTGGGTACACAGGTAACATGTAGCTGAATAACTCAAGATTTCTGGTGTGTGTGGAAAATTTTAAAAACTGCTCTGGAATGACATCGTTAATAAGATGTGTAATTTCTTACCTGAACCATGCTGCTAATAACCATAGGGAGCATATTTAATGGGAATCGAAGAATGTTAAATAATGCCAAAGAAACAAATGCTTTTTCTGCATCTAGAACATTGTTCTGATCACTTAGGACATATACAGCAAAAGTTGATAGGGCAACCTGAAAGAAAACAGAAAAAAAATAGAAAAATTTATAATTTAACACAAGCGAGTCTAAAGAACTAGACCAATATCTAGAGAACAAAAAAAAACCCATCACAGAATACTGAAGAAAATGACATTCTTCAGGGTGGGAAATGTGTATGGGTCTCAAGCAGTGAAGGATGCCAGCAAATGATTTGTTTTCATGAATTAATAAATATTGTCTTAAAGTCTTGCAAAAGAGAACAGGGTACCCACCATTATCTTTATTCATTTGAACCTTATTTTATGCATGAAGGATGACACTTTTTTTATATAGCAGAGAGTGGATGCAGCAATCTACAAGACACCACTGCGTTTATGCCACATTGCACCTCCATTTTAAATCTTATTCATGAAATGCAGACTGTGGTTTATCCCCCAGAGTTCTCCCTGCATAACGCTATATAAAAAAATGCTGCGATTGGAGGAGAGTTTGTTGATATGACATCCCAGTATTTGTTCCCTATTCATTGAAATAGTCTGCCGCTTGTTTCATTATCCCAAAGCAAGTGGAACGTAATATACATTTGTAAAGAACACTTGTGTTTTATAAATGTGCATTTTTTTTGTTTCTTTTAAAGCAGCCGTATGGATATGGTAAGGCTATAAATGGAGCCTTAGAACTAAGCATTTTCTTTTTACAATACTATATGAGCACCTCATCAGCCAATACTAGATCTCATATGAAAAGTGGGATGGTGAGTAGGAGGGGTTTAGGTCAGGAGGTAGTGTTCATCTCCAAAGTCAGAGGAAACTACTTATAGCATGCATAGAATACCTAGGGCTCTTTGAGCTTAAATAAAGGGGCTTTTTGGTTATTAAAGACGTAAGCAGACACTATATTTATCATTTTACATTAAGTTAAGGTCACATGTTTCTTGTATTGCCTTGCTGCTCCTTAACCAAAATGGTAATGAGTAGCGCTCAACTACTTTCTAGTGGGTTGGACCAGGCTCTCTCTAGGCACCAGCAACCCGACCAAACAATCAGTGCCCCCGTCTCACAGAGATCATGCCCCCACCATGGCTCAGACCAGAAGCAGCAGACATATGGTGTATTGTGTTTGCGTATGTATTACTTAAACTATACAGAGTAATTTATAGAGGTGCAACAAAATGGGGAAAAAAAGCTGGCCCAAAACGAAAATGTTTTTTTCTAACTTTATAAAAAATAGAATATTTAAAAATTTTTTGACAAACTTTTTATTTTTTTTATATTTTATATTATTAAATATTTTTATGTTTTACTTTACTTTTAGGGGCTTTGGGGAAATATTAAAGATTTAAACAGTTCCCTTTTAAAATAGAAAAAGATTGAAAACACAGAGTCCTCAATCTCTATTTCTGCATCCCCTGTTACAAATTAACAGGAATCCTCTATAATGAGTGTTCCTGTTCATTCAGAACTTAGTTTGTTTACCATGCACACAATCATGAATGGACATGAAGTGATGTAGATCACTCCAATTAATTCATAATTGGGCACACAGTAAACATACTCTGTCCTCAATTACTTACAAACACTCAGTTCAGCACTGTTTGTACCCGCTCTCCATCCTGCATCGGCTGTCACAGGAGGCTGGAGGGTAATACACAAAGACAATACTACAGACTGACTAGCTACTGGCCAAGCTGCCCCAAGTGTGTGTATGTGCATGCTTGTAGAACTATAAGCACCTTTGTAAAATGGGATTGATGTGAATAGTCATTTTGTTTTGTTTTTTAAGCTATATAAAAGACTGTTTGACCGTTTGCTGTATATGGCCAACAAAAAAAAAAAAATACTATAAATTGATTTGTTACATGTTTTATCTGTTTAGCCATTGTTTAAATTATTAAACATGACACACAGATGAACTAATGTAATTCATGCACTTGCTCCGTGAAAACATGCTATTAGCCTGGGAAAAAAAAAAGTTTTACCCAGGAATATGAAGCTGCATTACCAGATTGGATTTATTTGCTAAGCTTCTCCCTCTACTATAGAAATAGCAGCTATGCATGAATGTACTGAAGATTATGTCTCCACAGTTAAGACACATTCCTGCCCTCCCTCCAACTCTGTTCCGCCTGTCTTTACTCATCCTTCCATTGTAAACATGAACCTGTCCCAAATGTATTTTCCGTTTATGATGTTCCACATATAAACACCTGTGAATGGAACAACACATATTTTATCCTAACGTGGTCATAATGTATTAGCTTCTCCTAAACAGCAAGTGTTATTTTTAGTTTCATGGGGAGGAGGGAAGAGACAGTGAAAAAGTACCCTGTTCTCAGTCAGTTACCTATCTACCATATAAAGAGAAGGTCTCCTGTAAAGCAGTCATATGGTATGACAGTCAAATCAGCAACAGAGAAACAATACAGTAGAAAACAAAATAATAATAATTGCTGTGGGCAACTGTTTATTTTTTAACCAAAGTTCAGGTTTAACTAAAAATAAAAAAGTACACTGGCATCCCACAAAGCGGATCCATATGCAAGACATGACCTTTCTTTCTGCCTCAGTTTTTTACTGAATTTTAATGAATGCAATCTAGAGCCCTGTGCTGTTGCCCAGTTTCCATACAACCAGTACACGTGGAAACTGGAGGGGGCAGGTCTTATGAGAAAAAGTAAGACAGTATTTGTGGGGTCATCTGTGGGAGGATGTAAAGAGGGAATAGTCAATTTAGGATGGAAGTGTGGGGGTTCTATTACTCCACTTTCTTACATCAACTTTGCGGCATATTTTATCCCACTTACCAGCAGTAGCTGACCACTGTCCTCTGTACACAGTGTTATGTCTTACATAGTCCTGGCCCTATGCTATGTTGCATGGTATACTCCTGACCTCTGCACTGTATACACTATCTTGTACGTCTTGTACATTAAACTCCTGACCCCTGCACTGCATGCTCAATATGTGCATTTACAAAGCAATGCTGGGGACAGAAAACCTCAGTTTTTCAGGTGAAGCTGATCAGAAGCTCAATGTTAGGTCTATAGGATGGCGGATGTAGACAGGCCTGCATCTGCTAACATCCGGTTACCCAATAGCAAAAAATAATGTAATTCATCACTATGAATCATGCATGGTTTTGCATCATACTGTTTGAAGAATGATTGTGGCTTTCTAATCCCCGCTTCACAATTGATTTGTATTACCTGATTGCCTGAATGGGGGCTTGATGATGATTGTAGTTTCCCCATTGATGTCTTGTATTATTCTGTTTGGAGAATGATTGTCCATAAGCTAGTATGCTATACTCTGCTGCGGTAGTCAAGGGGGATTTGGAGTCCATTCTCTATACAGGTGAAACTCGAAAAATTAGAATATCGTGCAAAAGTTCATTTATTTCACTAATGTAACTTAGCCGTCTACCAGGAGATTTTGGAGCACTTCATGCTTTCATCCGCAGACAAGCTCTATGGGGATGCTGACTTCATTTTCCAGTGGGCACCTGCCCACACTGCCAAAAAATGTCTGAGATTGTGGATCTGGGTTTTCATGAGCTGTAAGCCATAATCATCACAATTATGACAAATCACGGCTTGAATTATCTTGCTTTGCATGTAATGAGTCTATCTCATATATTAGTTTCACCTTTTAAGTTGCATTAGTGAAATAAATGAACTTTTGCATGATATTCTAATTTTTCGAGTTTCACCTGTATGTGTAGCTATGCACATATTTTTAAACACTCCCTTATGAATTTTTTACATACTGGGCATAATCAAATAACTGATCATTTATGTATTTTGATACTTGAGCTATGTATGTTTGTAGGTATGGGGCAAGTGTATACATGTATATACCTATGGATTCAATCTTTTTCTGTATCTTGTATCTCTTGCCCATATATTACATACACACACATTTATTAATTATTTAATATTCAATGTTTAACCTTTAGTGTTTATATGGGCATATAGGAGGATTTTAGCACAACGTAGCAGAGGATGGGTTAATGTGTGTTTGTGTACATAGACCCAGAGTGTTTTGTCTACATATCTGTACATATCTCTTTATTGTGTGGCAGTGGAGGTTTATGAGCACATCATGTAATATATAGTTTTTACATACTCGTGTATATGTGCGCAGATTTGTGTGTAAGGTTACTTATTTAATTTCTATTGCCTATTTGATTAATTTCACTTTATTGTCACAATAAGTCTATGGGTCTGTGAGCATTTATATACACATTATTTGTGACTAAATATTTGTTACCCCATTGATATTTATCTATTTTATGAAGGCTTTTTCAATCTAGATAACGACTTATGGGTTAACCGCTTTCTTGCCACCTGTGAGGTAGAGTGTTATCCAGCAGATAAAGGCAACAGGAAGAAAAGAGACTTCACATCTATGATCAAGCCCAGGTGGTGAGAGGCGTCGGTGTGAGATAGATGTTTTACGGTGATGTATTTGCTACAATACGATTGATTTTGGATTTTACCTGGAATGTCACCGCAATAAAGTTGGATTTTTATGGACACTGGTTTCTGTGCGGCTGATTGTAAAAGAATATCCGATTACCGGAGTCCGAGAGAGTTCTGTTTGGTGGACCTGAACATAATGGATTGGAGGCAACTGGATGTAAACGGACACATGTACACTTACATCCGACTGTCCCCCCCCCAGGAGAGGTATTAAAGAGTCTTAAAGATAAAAGCAATAATACAAGACTAGTGGACAGGTGGCGTGTATTACACCCCACAAAAAGAGAGTCCAATAGTCGCTGATGTATCCAAATATGATCTATGACCCAGAGATAGAAACGGGTTTTATATTATGGTCAGACCACTCACCAGTGTACTTAAAAATAAGTTGAGAATAGAAATAGAGGTATGGGAACTTGGAGATTAAATGATACATTTATTAAAAAAACCTAGAGTGTAAAGAAGAGTTAAACCTTACTATAAACAACTTGATTAAAGACCATCAAAATGATACTACACCATACCCCATTCAATGGGAAACTCTAAAATGTGT